GCGTAGTCCGAATGCTGATCGACAGAGTGGAAGTAGAGCTTGACGACAGGTCTCTGGAGGCCCAGTTCGATGTTTTCAATGTCAGAACGGCAGTGGCGCGACTGAAGGTTTCCAGGCTGGACTTAGTCGAATCTGAATCCATTGATTTTCATGTTTCGTCATTGCCATTGTCAGACATTTTGTTCAAATTGATTTAATTTTATTTTAAATTTTTCATTGATTCATTAATTATGTCTGTTGATTCCAAGTGTAAGGAATGCCAGGTCTCCATGGTCTCAAGAGATGCCCAAGAGCCAAGGCCTGCGGCAGAGAACCGAGAGCTGGCCGAAAAATGGTCCCGCTTCGAAACTTGGACAGCCTTGAAGGTACGGCGACTGTTGATGGAAGGCCTTGGCTTTCCCGGAAATTCTTGCGATGTCTCGACGGCCTCAAAAGAGTTTCAAAGCCATCTGGTGTCTTTGGCCTTTGCTGAGCTGCCCAAGGACAAGTGGGAAGACAACCGGGTCTTGTGGGCCTCAGTGCGTGAGAAGCACAAAATCTCCGCGGCCTTGGCCAAGCTCATCGGCCTGTACGTGGCAACAGAAGATGGCAGCTGCACTGTCGAGAGGAATCACAGTGTTGGTGTCAAGATCACAGACAGTCACAGTGGTCCTCTCGAAGGGTGTTCTTACTCGGATTTGCTGGCGTGCCGCCTCGACGGGCCTCAAACGCCCCAGGAAGTTGCAGAAAAAGATGAGGTCTACGGTGGTGTGCAGCTTGGTCTCACACCGTTTTCCCGGGCCTTTTTGCAAGCGTGGCGGATGAAGCACGGGGCGCGGTTCAGGGTCTACGCTCAGAAGCGCAAAGGCATCAAGCAAACGGAGTCGCAGCAGCTGAAAAAGCCGACGCTGACGGCTGTGACTTTGCGACAGAGGCGAGCGCTGGCCTCCCTGCCATCCCAGACGGAGTGCAGCAGGTCTACTGTCATTCCTGGTGTGACAGCAACTTTTGCAAAGGACGCCCTTGCCAGTGAGCCACACCTAGGTCGCCAGTTGAAGAACTTCAAGCGCCGGACCGAAAACATCAAGTTGAGAAACCAGGCGGTCTCCGCGCAGCGAAAGGTTGGCTGCAACCCTTTTCTGGAAGCCAAGTTGAAAACAGCGAAGCTGTGGAGCTGTCGCCGTGACAAGGATGCGGCCGAGTACTTGCGCAGCATGGAAGTTCTGGCAAGATGGAAGCTGCTGGATTGCAGCTTGGCCCGGGACACTGACATGGTCTTTCCGCGTGGCAAGGACTATCGGTTGCTGCGGCTGCGGGATGAGCCGGCCTTTGCGCAGGTCATTGAGCTTGTGGCGCGGGCCCACATGGTGGTCTTCGATGACGTGGATGATCTACTGGCCGTTGAGCCTGAGATTGCCAAGTGGCTCGCTTGCATTTTTTCTTTGCCGCTACCTGACGAAGACACAGATAGCTTGATACAGTGCCTTTTCAATAATAGTTAAAGCAGACTCAGACAAGGAATGTCGAGGTCTCCAAGGTGGCTGTGCTCGTTGCTGCTTATGGTCTTCCCGTCATGTCGAAGGCGGCTTGGAACAGATTCACTTCTGGCACCAGAGACGAGGTCTCAGTGGTCTTCAGCCAGCACCTCCTGAGCCAACGCTTTGTGTTCATTGGAAGTGTTCCGGATGATTACAGAGGCCACTTTTTGCAAGGTCTCCTGCATCATTCCAAAGGCCTTTGGCACTTGGACCGTAGCCGGAAAGACATGGAGAATCGGTTAAAGGCCGAGAATGTTGCCGCCAAGGCTGCGGCGAAGGCAAAAGCCAAGCCGAAGGCGCGACCAAAAGCCAAAGGCAGGCCTGCGCCCCCCAAGGTCATAGATCTGGGGATAAGAAACGCCGACGTGCATGGCGGCCTGTGGTTCTGGGGTCTTTTCCGAAAGCTTCATCGCTTCGATCGACCCGAGGGTGTTTTCATGTCTAATTAGTTGAGCGGCAGCAACAGCAGCGGAGGTCTGGGAAGTCATTGGTATGATTATTTTTAAAGTAACTGATGTGCGCAGCAGAACTTCTTGGTCTTGTCGCTGTGGCCCACGGCTTTTACGACTCTGATGGGGTATGGGGAAAAAGGCATTTGCGTTGTCTTGACTGTGTGCGTTTATCTGTCATGAGTTGCCCGGGCCAATGGTCCCAATTGCACTTTCATGCTGATCACGTGCGTGTTTCGCCAGGCCTATAGTCCAGCTGAGCAGGCGGCTAGCCCGGCATGGGATCGTGTTCGTCACAAGGCTGCGCCACGCTGGTTTTCTGCCAATGACTCATTATCCCAGTTGAAAGTGTACCTGTTTGGCCAGGCCTGCAGCCTACCCTGAGCAGGGGGACAGCTGACCCGGCCTAATTTGTCACAGTATTGCGGTCTCTGTGGCGAGCTCGTCACCTAAGGTGGCAAATTTTCCGTAGGGCCCGGGTCTTTTTTCAGTGACAGTGATCTCTTAGGACTGCAACCAATGCGTTTCAGGCTGCCATGGGACCTGCTTGAATTTGGCAGCCAGTTGTTCATAGTTGGCCTCCAGCTGTTTCAAAGTCACCGCTGAGAGACGGTGATTTATTTAATGGTTCTATGGACTCACAAGGATGGTATGCCGGAAAAAAAGGAGCGCCAAAAGAAGCAGAACCACCCTAACAACAAGACATGCCCGCAAACTGTAAATTGGTTAAAATTTTTGGCCCCAAGGCTGAGGCCTACCCAGATTAGAAGAACAACAAGCCAAGCCTACACTGCAAGGCTGTGAGAGCGGTTTCGGTGGCAGTTGGGATGCTTAGAGGCTTAGAGTCCATGCCTTTGAGGACCTGGAGCGCAGTCGAGACGTGAAACAGGGAAGCAGCGAGAAGCACCCAGTGAAGAAGGGGCCACCCCCCGAGGCAACGCCGGCTGTGGCCTTGTGGTCGGCGTGCTGAGTGGCGCAGATGGCTATGACGAGCTGATGAAGGCGCCGTGGTCAGGGCTGTTGAGCGCTTTTTGAATCTTTGCCTTGAGGGGATGTGTCGGCCTGCAGCAAGCCTATTTAAGTCCTTTCTTGCAGGTTAGGCCAGGCCCAAGAATGCCTCGTTCCTAGGCGGGCGCCCACGTCGTCTGCGAGCGCGTGACGGTGCCCTGGGCACAGCGAAGCCCGAGCCCCCAACCCATTGTACATGGTTGGGATTTGAGGCTTCATGAATGGGAGGGGGGGCTTCGATGAGAAAGCGACCGTCGTGGTCCTGAAGAAAAATGGATCTTAGAGCGACTTCCCCTCTGTTTATGCCTCGACATGCCTCGACTGCATCACGCCGACACCGGCGCTAGCTCAACTTAGGTTTTAGGTTTAGGGTTTAGGGTTTAGGGTTTAGGCTTTAGGGTTTAGGCTTTAGGGTTTAGGGTTTATGGTTTAGGGTGAGCTCCCCCCGTGTGGTCGCAGCGATTCGTCAGGATCTGCCAGTGCCCCGGCGCCACATTGCACCAGACGAGCGCAGACTGCCGGACCTGAGCTGAGCAACCCGGCCCAGAAGTTTGAGAACCCCAGAGCCCCGAAACTTTATTGCGTGTGAGGAGATTCTAGAAGATTATAGACTCATGGACCATTGATGTTCCGTTGCGGGTGGAAGCAGGTAAGTGTTCGACTTATCGGCGTAGCGTCCGTTTAGAGCGTGGTGATGCAAGGGGGCAGGATGCAACTTTTTTCCCTTGTTGTTTCAGTGCCATGTCCGAAGCACCCGTGAGATGCCAGTGACGCCAGGCACGCCGCGACGGGCTTGCCATAGAACGGGCCAGAAAGATGGTGCCACAGGTTCTCCCACTGTTTTGGAAGACTTGGCTGCTTAAAGGCAGGCAAGCAGACTGTGTAGTAATGAGGCTTTTGTATGCCTCCGGCTCAGGCAAGGGTCCGAGCTGACTGAGGGAGCTGTGAGTGAAATATCGCTATTACTATTACTATTGCTAGTATTATTCCTATTGCTACTGCCACTACTATTACTATTACCATTACTATGACTTGCTATTCCTAGTACTATTGCTGTTACTAGAATCTCTGTCAGCCGGCGGTTCCTATTGCCTTCGAATCTGCTACTAGAAGGTCCATAAGAGGTGCCCCGCAAACGGAATAATGCGAGTGTGACACTACGTGACACTTTCGCCAGCCCGGCGGTCTAGCCAAGCTTTCTTCAGACAAAGAAGTAATCACCAAGAGCTGATTCAGGTAGATGGCGGATAGCGGTGCTCGACAAACCCCTGGAAGTTTCCTGACCCCTAGACACCAGACAGAAAAAGCCCTAAAGCATCCCCAAACAAAAGCCCTGCATCCTGCTTTGCCGCCGCGGCGCTGTGGTGGCCGCGCCCACCACCCGCGCGTGGGAGCCTGCGAAGTGTGGCTCTGCCTCAGAAGTTAAGTCAGGGTCTGTGGGTCTCAGCCTTTGCGTTAGGTGTTCTCCACCCTCGCTGTGGGCGTATCTGTAGATGTTCGCTCAGCTATTCTCCTTTTAGGGTTTAGGGTTTAGGGTTTATAAGGTTTAGGGTTTAGGGTCCTAGACCACCCAGAGAATCCCGAGCATCCCTGGACTGTCCCGTTGAAGGGGCTGCTTCGAAGCAAATAGCCTAGTTGCTTAGCACGGTCTTCGTGTGCCGTGTTGAACTTCAAGCATTTGCACACTGCATACCACTTCTATGAGCTTGTGTGCAGAGAAGCCTATCGGCAACGTGGAGAAACCAGAGAACCCGAAACCCTAAACCCGAAACCCGAAACCCTAAACCCTAAACCCTAAACCCCAATCAAGCCCATTGCCCACCGAAGGCCCCTTGGCATCGGAGGAGTGCGGGAGCAATGGAGGCACCTGCTCCCGAGTTGCAAGGTGTACATGGCCATCCCTATTCATGGGCCTCAAGGCCCCAAGGATAGAGGGGTTTTAGGCAGGGGCTTAGGAGAAGGGCTCGCGCACCCCGTGCGTAAACCACATGCCCATAGGAAGAGGGCTTGCTTGGTGTACTGGCAAGTGATCTTGTGGGAAGGCCGCGACTGCTCGAGCCATCCATGGACAAGCACAGGCGGGGGTGCCGAGTGCAGAACATGTACTTGGGCCGGCCCCCTAAGTTGTTCTAGGATTCGAAGCTTCCGAGAGCAGCACTTGACTTTGTGGACAAACTCTTGCACTCCTGTGCTGCTGCTGCCGATTGTTATCCCTCAGGGGAGATGTTCAGGCGTCACCTGTCCTGACATCTGGGGGCGCGAATTTCCGTGCATGTTGCAAGGAGCGACGACGTGCTCAAACGCCGCAACGCCGCCATTGCAGCTGCGGGCAGGCATCTCTTTGGCATGACTCCTCGGCTGGCTCCCTGTTAGACGCGCCGGGCGCGAGGGTTCCCACTTTGTAGATGTTGCATATCGGGTGAAGGCTTGCGCGGGTCGTTCGGACAGAATGGAGTGAGCTCATTGCCCCGTCAAGCCTTCGACCCCGCCAACGTCCCAACGCTGCCACATGTGCTTCATGCCTCATATGCCTCCGTCCGCAGGCGTCAGCGCTGGCGACAGGCCCTTCAGCTCTTTCATGCCTTACCACAGGGCCGGCTGCAGCCGATGCATTGCTCAACCCAGCGTATGTACATACACATGTATGATACAGACATTGTATATATATATATGTACATATATGTATTATATACGAAATATATATATATATATATGTATATGTATATGTATATGTATATGTATATGTATATGTATATGTATATGTATATGTATATGTAATATACATATGTGCATAGCATTTTTCGATTTACACGTTTCTATCGCAAATTACAGATGATTGGAACTTGCCTTTGATGTTTATGTGCAAGATGTGTAAACCGCTGCGCTGTCTGCAGGTGTGTGCGTGTGTTGGGAGGCCAGTACCATAAACTACCACACTTGGGGCGGTTTGCAAAGGACAGATCAAGACCTAAACGAAGGAATTCATGGGATACCTGGACGAGTTTGGGGGGGCCTGCGAACAGGCCTGCGCAGTTCTTGGAGCCCTCGCATCCGAGACACAAGAAACGAAGTTCAGCTACGCCCGAGCCCTCGAACCTGGAATCTAGACCGGCCTAAGCCCCTTGACGCACGAAACCCTTCCCATGCACACGACCATGCCCTTACCTCCCCAAGAGCTGGCACGGGTTCCTCATGATGTCGACTGGCTGGTTCTTAGTAGGGAATGAGGGAATGAGGTACCCTATATGTAAGGGTATATATATATGATATATATAAAGGGCTCCTAATTCCCTCAGTCAACCCTAAACCCTAAACACTAAACCCTAAACCCTGAACCCTAAACCAAAGGTCTCAAGGGTTCTTCAGTCCTTTAGGTTTCCTTCCGAGGAACGCGCGGAGCTACGGCGCTGCCATGGGCGAGCCTCGTCGTGAAGACTCGTCTCATAGACGCGTAGACTATCATCATACAAGTATATTTGTATATGATTGTATTTGTAAATTCTGAAAAATATTCAGAATCTCATCATATTAGCATTTTTTGTTATAGTGTTATATTAGTTTTCTCTCATATGAATACATCGTTACATTTTTATAGTTAAGTTCATATACGTATATTCTTATATTGGTACAGTACTATATGATTATAGTTGTAGATTCTGCAGTGTACTTTCGCATCAGGGGCTCTTTTGTGGTCCAGAGATGTGAGCTGCCGGATCATTGATGCGGGCGGCATGCCGACTCAAAGCAAAGATTTTCATCGCACGGAAGCCTTGCACCTCTCAGGCCCAACGCACGCAATGGGTGCCGGCTCTGGCACTGCTCCGGCAGATGTCAAACGCGGCTGTGGAAGGTTCGCAGACCTTCTTGGGCCTCGGTAGATAAGGAGCGATGGCATGAAATGCGCCGAGTAATTACTTGGGTCAAATCAGCGCATTCGTCGACCTAATCATTTTGCTGCTACCCCCTTCTGCCATTCAGATGTGCTTGGTGGCGTCCATTGTGAGCGCTGCAGGTAGAAATTCCGGGGTAGGCGACAGGGAGGGGTTCTCCTAGTGACAGGTGAATGACAACTTGACCTGCAGTCCCGAAGGTGTGATGATGAACCGCTGGGGCAGGTAGGGGTTATCGAGCACCCTTGAATGCAGGCAACATCATCCTCTATTCTGCTGCCAGCACGGCCTGTGAGCAAGGACAGCCCCTTGTGCGGCAAGAAAAAAGTGCAATTCGCCATCCACGCACTTGTTCCCAAGTAGTGTGTTCGAAAGCATGAAAGACTGAAGCCTATGATCCTATGCGGGTAAGCCCGAAACTACAACAAGAAGCTTGTCCGGTTCGCTTCTGTTAGCTCTGCCAACTGAGAACTTGGCCCTGTGCCGTCAAAGTGCTGGACACTGTGCGGCGACACTCTGTGGAGGCGAAACTCTGTCTTGGAACCACGAACATAGCAGCTCATAGGAGGAGTTGAAGAAGATTCCTTTCGCTTCTGAGGGAGCCTTTAGGCTTGATGGGCGCGTGTAGCGAGTCATGCTGACAGGACACTTGACCAACCCAGATCCAAGATCGTTTCTGTCCTAATGAACCCAACGTTTCATATTCTCTGGCCTGAGCGCCTTGAGAGCTTCAAATCGTCGAACAACAAACTCGAAGCCTTCCAAAGCCTACCCCTCAACCCTAAACCCTAGACCCTAAACCCTAAATCCTAAACCCTAAACCCTAAACCCCCAACCCCTCAATACAGCTGGATGCACGCCGACCTGCTGGACCATGGGCTTGTGCGGTTCGGGGCTGTGCGGCGTTGCGCGAGGAGGCTCGGCTTTGGCGAGATCCCGCCCCCGTTGGCCGTACTTGGAGGTTCATGGTGCTTCATTAACCAATTGTAACTGTACTTGTAAGTACCATGAACCTCCAAGTAGGCCGTGAGTCTCTGGAGTTTTCTGGACTGCTCGGAATGCTCGGGGGGTCTTCGACCAAACATGAGGCTCCAGGACTCAGAGTTTGGGTGGTGCGTGTCGCTACTATGGTGCTTCAATCGTTGAGGGCTAAAGCCGCCGACTCATGGGGGCTAGCAACTGACAGGCCCTGGAGGTCAACGTGATTGTGCTCAACACGGCTGCTTGGGCCACGATGTGGTCCGTACGAGTGGCATCTTGAGGGGTTCCCCTTATAGTGAGGGTTACGAGACTAGGGGACCCCCAATAAAGATCCCCACATAGTAGGGTCCCCTTATCAACAGGACCCCAAGAAGGTACCCCGAACTCAGGAAACCCGCATAGTACGGCGCCTGTCTAAAACGGACCCCAAAGGGACCTTAATCTACAGGTCCACGGGCTTTCAAAGGGGGAAGACTCCACTAACAGAAAAACCCTAAACCCTAAACCCCAAACCCTAAACCCTAAACCCTAAACACCCCAAACCGAAGGCGCCTTGTCCTTTCCGAGGCGCTGGCGGCCACGCGCTGGGCCCTGGGCCTCGGAGCCCTGGGCTGGGCGAGCCGAGGCAAGGTGCTTTTAGAGTGTCGGTGTAGTTGCGTGTAGTGTTTATGACTTTCATGTTTATTGTGATTGTTATTTTATTGTTATTGTTATTGTTATGGTTATTGTTATTGTTATTCTTATTCTTAGTCTTCTTCTTATTATTATTATTATGATTAGTGTTATTACTATAGTTATAGTTATAAGTATAGTAACAACAATAACCATCATGATTATGATTATGACGATTATTGCAGGCATTGTTACTATTCTTAATGATGTATGTTTTGTGAAAAGGGCTTTCTCACTGCGCTCTCAACATGATGTGAAGCAGGGTTTGTTTTTCTGTTATTGGTGAGTGTACATAGGGTTCCGTTTTAATATTGGTGAGTGTATACATTGGGTGTCCTTTTGGGGATACAAGAAACATAAACCCTTCTTCATGTCCTGCTCTAGGATCTGGGCAAGTCTGAGATTGTGGGCGGTTGCTTCTCCAGCTAGCTTCCGCCATGTCACGACGTCATCCAAGCCTCTGAAGTAGCGCACCGTGGCTCGCGCCAAGTCCTCCTAAACCTTGAACCCTATAAACCCTACAAACCCTATAAACCCTATAAACCCTATAAACCCTATAAACCCTATAAACCCTATAAACCCTATAAACCCTATAAACCCTATAAACCCTATAAACCCTATACACCCTATAAACCCTATAAACCCTACCTATAAACCCCCATAAACCCTATTAACCCTATAAACCCTATAAACCCCCATAAACCCCCATAAACCCTACAAGCCCTCTAAACCCTCGAAGCCCTATACCCTATACCCTTCAACCCCCAGCCTCAACTTCATCGCATGCTTGTGAAGCGCACCGGGGAGGTTCCCTGCAAGTGGACCGGATCTCCTTCAACTCTTTGATCGGCAGCTGCCGGTGCCCGGGTCGCCCTTTTGCCGCCCTGCACTCCTAGGTGTCCCCGACCATATGCCATTATAAGGTTAGGGTTTTTGCAGTCAAGTAGGGCTGCGTTATAAGAAGTATGAGGGTTTTCGGAGGCACGCGGGTGAAGGGATTCTCCCAAGACATAAACATCAGAATGGAACACGTTTGAGTACCTGTGCCTTTGCGTTTGCGACGCCCTGCTTCCCGGACAAAGGCTTGCTACCAGAGACCTCTTTGTAACGCTCATCTTATCTTCATGGCATGGGACTGGAAACGCCCCATCCCTGGACAAAGCTGATTCTGAGCTCCACCAAGAAGCATCTCAAGAACCGTAAACCCTAAACCCTAAACCCTAAACCCTAAACCCTAAACCCTAAACCCTAAACCCTAAACCCTAAACCCTAAACCCTAACCCTAAACCCTAAACCCCAAACCCTAAACCCTAAACCTCAAGGTGAGTCAGCATAGTTGCCCCAGTGAAGCCGAGGGATGGCCCCTGGCAAGCCGCCGCGGAGCTTACCATGGACATGCGCGCACGAGGCCCCGCCACAGAGCAAAGCAAGCCTCCCAAGCAGAGCCCAGCTACTACGAGGGTTTAGGGTTTGGGGTTTAGGGTTTGGGGTTTGGGGTTTAGGGTTAGGGTTTAGGGTTTAGGGTTCACATCCGCTGCCCCTTGGCACTTCGGTAAGAGCAGGCTCCGCGCAGCCATTCCCAACTACTGCACTGCACCTACACCTCGAGCAGGACTCCGCGGCAACCGCATTACCTCCAACGCAGTGGCATGGCTGGACTGGTTGGTCGTCTCCTTGCCTCAAGAAGCTTAGAGGGTCAGCTTCAAGTCTGAACAGCTTCTGAGAGTAAAGAGCCCTCTCAGCAGATAGATGCTTGAGGTTTGTTGACACCGATAGCACTGCAGAAGCACTTGCATACTTGCGTGGGGCCCTACCCCCCCCCCCCCCCCTCCCCAGGTTATGGCTTCCCTGTCCGATGCCAAATGCTGGCAGCGGGCCTTGGGTGACTCAGCTCAGGGGAAAGCAGGGCTTCCCACTGAAGCGCTCTTAGTCGAACGCACAGCATCGCAACGTGCACTGCAGGGTAGTCGAGCGACACTGTCTTTGATCGGTTCATTGTAGTTCCAAGGCAGACCTCGACATTCGCCTAGCCGCAAACTCATCCAACATGGTCTTCTCAAGTACTCCACATGGTCTTTTACGAAAGGGGGGGTTTCCGAACATAAGGGACCCCCCCCCGGAAAACCCCTACACAAGCCTCATCTACGACTTCTCCGAGGCGTGCACCATGAAAGCTCGTGCCAGTTTCTCTCCCCCAAATCGTCCAACGCCCACCCCAAAACCTTTCACAGCCTTGCGGGGAATCAAATCACAAGGCGCCTTCGAAGATCTGCCGTGCCTGCGGCACTTGGGCATGTAAGGCCGCGTTCGTTCGAAAGATTTGTGCCCTTGAGTTTTCGGGCTTCGTGGCACAGATACCCACATACCATTGAGCGTGGGTAGATTCTATCCTTCGAGGGTCATGTTCTTGTGTGAACTCGTGACTTCCTCATAGTTGTCATAACCCCTCTGCACACTTGTACGTACTTATTTATCCGTAGGCCTTGAGAACAGCAGTCTGCAATGCGGAAGGCAGCTCTGTGAACACATCAGCCGTAGGTAGTTACAAGTTGTCCATGTCTTGGGCGCAAGCAACTGCCGGATGTTCGGGTCCCAAGGCAGCATCTGGTTGGTGCCGCGCTGAAGGCTTGCGAGCAAGGCCGCTGATATATCTGGGGTCTCAGTCCTTGATCGGTAGATTTTCCTGTGAGCTGCAGTTGAGATCTGCGAAGTCTTCGGCCGTGGCCAGGATTCGGCTGGATTGGTCACTGCGTTGTAGGCATCACATCCCAGCAAGTTCGCCCGCTTCCCCTTATCCCAGCTCCTCAGCCGCGAGGTGCGAAGTGGCAGGCAGCGCTATCTTTGCTTGCTGCTGTGAACGATGTGGCCAACTACACCGCCGTACCTCGGTCTGTTTCCCTCGAGACGTACACTCTGAAGAAGCTCATTCTTCCGGGAAGGTAAACTTGTATCTCGATGCCAGGCGAGCTGGTAGCCCCATGTCAGTTCTGACCCGGTTCCTACACCGACCATGTCGTCGCGTCACCTCCACAGAGATTTTCTCACCGAAATGTTTCGTGTGTAAGCATAAAGTAAAGCTTCCCAGAGTCCTGCTCCCCGGACAAAGTATTTCCGAGGCCATGCGCGCCTGCGTGTCCCGGACGAGAAGAGTTCCTAGCTGAGTTTTGCTCTTCTGAAGCGTTTTGCCGGCAATGCAATGCCTTGGCATGCCTATTTGGAGGTTCATGGTACTTTGAACCAATTATAACTGTACTTAGAGCTGCACTGAAAACCAGATTAGTGGGTTCTAAGTACAGTTCTAATTGGTAGTAAGTACCCTGAACCTCCAAGTACCCATCTTGCTGGGCCATCCGAGGCAGCGGCCACGCGCTGGGATGTGTCGTTGGCGCTGCTGGCGGATCTGGTGCCGTCGGATGGGCTGCGCCTTGACACGGTTGCCGCTGGGCAGCGCGAGGAAGAAGGACGTGATGGTTCTGAGTAAGCAGTCCTGTAAGCTTTGTTGGGTCCGAAACTTCAGAGTCGCAAGCCCCCGCCGAAGCCCTGGATGCCTGAGCTTTCCGGGAAGTTCGACGGCATTCCGAGTCGAGGTTACTTCCGAAGTTGCAATCCTTCTGCCATCTCCAGCTCTCTGAACTGATGTGAACTCAGAGACCTGCAGACATGCGATTCCGAGGCCGTCAATGCTGCCATCGCGGCAGCGGCACAGGGCGTTCAGTGGACAGTGGCCGGATTACAGCTGGCACGGCTTTCTTTCAAGGGGTTGGCTGACAACTTTCTTCTTGCCTTTCCTGGCTCTTTCCAAAACATCTCTGGTGTATGTTGGTGTGCAAGTACTGGAAAAACACGGGACCGAGTCATGCCAGGCGCCTTTCATTCGCTTTCCCTTTCCCTCTTTTTGAAGCACCTTCACAAGAGAATTTTTACTAGCCGAAAAGGACGGAGCGCGAAAAAGAGCCCCAAAAACCCCTAAACCCTAAACCCTAAACCCTAAACCCTAAACCCTAAACCCTAAACCCCAAACCCCAAAACCCCAAAACCCTAAACCCACCCCCCCCCCCCCCCCCCCCCCCCCCAAAAAAAAAAAAGGGCGCGTCCCCCAAAGGGCATCCTAAAAGGCCGCCTTAGCCCTCTGGGCCGAGCTTCCCTCCCTGCACCTGGGCGCCTCTGCGGCGACGCACGGCGCGGCGCTGGCCCGCCGGGGGGGGGGGGGATGCGTTTAGGGTTTAGGGTTTTTAAGGAAAAAGAGAGAGAGAGAGAGAGAGAGAGCGAGAGCGAGAGGGAGCGCCCTTTGCACAAGGCCATGTGCAGAGCTTTCGCACATGTATCGACTCGGCTTTTTGCTCACGAGGGAGTGCTCCAACACGGGAATTGCCATGGAATTTCGTGCGCTCTTGCTTCTTTTCTCCTACTTGCCGCTGTGGGGGGGCTGTTGGGGGGCTGTTGGGGGGCTGTGGCAAGTTTCCATTCGCAACGGAAGGCTTTGAAGACCCCCAAGCCGCTCCCGGGGCCCTAAACCCTACACCCTACACCCTAAACCCTGACCTAAACTTTTCGAGTCCCAATAACAACCTTTTTCCGACCCTGGCAGGATGCCCTGGGCAAGGGCCGTGCCTCGGAGAAATCGGAGGATCTGCTTGGCTTCAAATTTATTTGGGTTTTAGGGTGTCAGGGTTTTTGGGGTTTCAGAAGATTTAGGACTTAGGGATTTGGGATGTGGCAGGCCTTTTGTTGGCAATGTGAAGCCTCGCAGAGCACCACTACATGTCAATAACTTTCCCCCCCCTCCGCCTCCTCTCCGCAATTCTCACTGAATAGAAGAGCTAGCAAATGACAGAGTTTCCCATGAGCCAGCTGTGGGGAAGTCGTTTTGGGGCGTTGCTAAACCCTTCTGTAGAAATCAGCACTCTGGGTTTTGCACATGTGATTCGTTTACTATGGCTAGCAGTGACAGTACTGCTTACCTCACCGAACTCTCAGATGACCCACCGAGTTTGACGAATGTAGCGTCAGCAGATCGGAATGGCCGAAAGACTGAAAGATGCAGCACAGGTGGCGCGGATCGCAGGAACCAGTATACTGAACATTGCACTTCCCAGTCATCTAGAATCCAGCAGCCTCCTACAGACACTCTGAGGCCAGTGGCAACGAGCTGTGCACCTTCTCTCCCGCGTGGTGGCTGTCAGGGGCCCCCTCTCCATCCTCGCGAGACTTGGTGGCAAGATGCCCAGGCTCCCTGCTAGAGGAGCTTGCTCCTTTCCCTGAGTCCTAGCCCTACAGTGCAAGCCTGTTGCTGCAAGTGGCCCACTACTCCTTGCTTCCTGGTATGCCCCTCCCATCCTGACAATCAGCTCGTGGAACTTCACACTCTTCCCCGGCCTTCTGCCTATCCGATATTGCCACGACATGCCGCTGCTTCACCACAGGTCTTGCTAGCTATGTGCTGCGCCGCACTTTCCCTCATGTTTGGCAGCCTCGGCTGTGCAATGCCAAGGTACAATGCTGCTATCAGTGCCTGTGAGGGGGCTGAGCGGTGGGAGGCCTGGTGTGATGTCCTTGGTATGCAGCCTCATGTAGTATCGGCTGCTAATTCCATGTACCGCAGTCCGCACATCTATAGCACTTCAGAGCTCTGGCAGGCCGCCTTGGCGTTGTTTGCAGACCTCCCACAGCAGGCGCCATGCGAGGGAGAGGTAGCTATTTGTGCAAGGACTGGATTTGTCCCTGTAACTGTTGGAGCCCACGACGCTCGCTGCCACAAGCACAGGCGCTTCGCGCCAGCATCGTCACCTGCAACGCTGCCGCCAGTGCTTGTGCTGAGGGGCGGCAGTGGCAGGCTCACCAATTTATCGCTCTTCCGAGCTTGCGCCGATGGTAGTTGGTGCTATGCTGTTCGCTATCCTAGGCTATTGCTATGCTGTTCGCTATGCTGTGTTATTGCTATGCTGTGTTATTGCTATGCTGTTTGCTATGCTGTTTGCTATGCTATTGCTATGCTGGTTGCTATGCTATCGCTGTGCTATTGCTACGCAGTTGCGATGCAGTTGCGATGCATTTGCAATGCAGTTGCTATGCAGTTGCTATGCTTCAAGATGGTTGTACGAAAGAAATTGTGGTTGGACTAAGGTCAGCAATATTTGGGACGGATATGAAGGTTTTCCTTTGGCGTGGTTTCTGGTGTTCGTTTGAATGGTGAGGGTAGGAAGCTGATCCAAGAAGATGGGTCTGAAACAGTTCAGTAATCATGTCGGACATGAATGATGCGAAGCATACGGAGTACACAGTAGTGTGCGGTTTCGGTTCAGCTGCTGCAAGTTTAGCTGGAGCTGCGAAACCTTCAGCCCTTCCAACTCCCTGGCCTCAGAGTATGCCTGAGAAAGGGCCCCGGCGCAAGGACGTGACCGTCTCACCATTGTCCCGTCAGCCTTTCGACCTAATCAGTGTGTCGTTGAACTTCAGAGAGTTAAACAGAGAGCACCGGAGGGAGACGGTGAGCTCTTCCCTGCAGACTTTGGGAACATGAGGTGTGAACGAGAAAAGACCAATCCGAGCTCCGACACGTTTGAGCTCGCCATGGTTGTTGCAGGCTGCTGTCGAACTGATGCAGCGTGCCCAGGTGGGAAGCAGGGCAATGTAGGGCCTTGAAACTCTAACCCTCAACCTTAAACCCTAAACCCTAAGGCAGTGGCCTGCACTAGAAAAGGTGCACAGGGTTGTTTTAAAAAAACCTTAAACCCTAAAACCCCGAACCGGCTGAAGTGAAGCGCATCTCCGACAATGGAAACGCTCGCCCAGGAAACGTCTATAAACATGATCAAAGCATGTGTGGGTTTCCGAAAAAAGGGGGGGGAACCCGTTTGGGGGATCCCCTTAACTGGATTCTCTTCTAATTGGGGTATGGGTACCCTGGTTTGGGAAATACGCATATCTTGAACACCTGCAGCTGGAGCATGTTTGTTTACCTGTCCAAGCCTCTGACAAGCCTACAGCGTTGATATGGATTTCGGGTTCAGGCTTGATGTCCGGGTTGAGGCGAAAACTTGAGTTTCGTGGATATTGTTGTGCAGGCAGACTCCCTGCAAAATACCCTCGTGACTTACAATGCGTGCATCAGCGCCTGTCAGCAGCTCGTCAGTTGGTGTTGGAAACCGTAAAGCACCTAAACCCACGAACGGGGCGCTGGGCGTAGACACATCGGGACTTCTCTGGGAAGATTGACCGGCTTAGAGGCCAGGTTCAGAAGTAAACCCTAAACCCTAAACCCTACACCCTTAACTCTAAACCCTAAGCAGTCTTGAAGCCTCCAGCTGACAAGCCTGCAGAAGCTACGGGAAGCCATGCGGTAGCACGCGTGTTGCATGAACCGAAGCACCCTCTGTCTCGATTGGTCGATGCTCCCGCAACACTTGTACGAAACTTCGAAAGCTTCCGACTTCTCCGACTTCTCGAAGCCCAAATCGTTTCCAATCCCCGTGTCCTGAGGCGCGCCGCCCAGTGGCCTGGGGCTTTAGCCTTGTTGTGCGGAATGAGTGCTGAATACTTGGAAGGCAGGTCGTTGGGGTGTACCATGGCATGTACTCTTTAGGGGGGAGGTCATGTGGGGGGTTCATAAGTTGAGAGGGTTGCCGTTGAAGGCTTGAGGTTTATTTCGGGATTCCGTTCTAGGGTTTTCCAGGGTTTGCCATTTTGAGCCCCCTGGCGAGAAAAGTTTCCGGAGCTGCGCTGTGCGAGTCGGCCGGCTGTAGTCCACCGCAAGCATGGACAGCACTTAAGCAAGCAGAGGATTTGGCAGGGCCTCTTGGAGTAGTTGCCCAGGCGCTGTGGTTTCAAAACCCACCCTCAACCCCGAGCCCAGAGCCCTAAGCGCCTTAAAACTCGAAGCCCTCCCTAAACCCTAAACCCTAAACCCTAAACCCTAAACCCTACATCCTAAACCCTAAGCCCTAAACCCTAAACCCTAAACCCTAAACCCTAAACCCTAAACCCTAAACCCTAAACCCTAAACTCTCTTCCAGAGGTGACGTCTTGTCAATCAGCGGCGCCTTGGAAGCCAGCGGCCGCCGCTGGCCGTGCCTCGCTGAAAGGATGGAGAAAGGTCATAGGATCAGGGTGTAGAGGGTTTAGGGTTTAGGGTTTAGGGTTTATAGGGTTTATAGGGTTTATAGGGTTTATAGGGGTTATAGGGTTTTTTGGGTTTATAGGGTTTATAGGGTTTATAGGGTTTATCGGGTTTATAGGGTTTATAGGGTTTAGGGTTGAGGGTTTAGGGTTTAGGGTTTAGGGGGAGAGAAGGTCATCGAGTCAGAGAGGAGGCCGTGGAGAGGGCCATATGGCGTTTGCGACCTGCATGGGAACCGGGTCCTCTGAAAAGATCTGGACTTTTGAGCAGAGGGTCCCTGGCTTACAAGCAGCCGGTGGCCTGCTTCCACTATTCCTCCCTGGCCTGCTGTTACACAACCCCTAAGCCCCAAACCCTGAGCCCTGCACCCGAAGCGCTAAGAAACCTGTTCATGGGTAGCTGTATAGTCTTCGAATCCCGTCTGCTTTAGAGCAAGCCACTTCTGTTTCTTCGGGTTTGCGAAAGGTCAGCATCGGCCCATTTCCTTGGTGCTAGACATACTCTCAGTAATTGCTTGCTGAGGAAGGGTTTTCAATCAATGCCCAAGATCAATCCTTCAGGACTGCGCTGTTGCTCCTCAGTGATGCTTCGGCGATGGACGTTGAGGCAAAGCCATTGCGTTCTCTTGCCATCCTCACTGTGGCAGCCTCTAGCTGGCCGGGCATGTTCGTAGACAAGTGAGGCAGGCGAGAGCAATGACATCAGTTGCATTCAGTCAATTCCTGCTCCCACGAACTGTTCGCTGCACTTTCGTAACGGAGGTTGATGTGCTCGCCTACGTCTCTGCACTCAACGAACCTGGGAAGCATCGCTGAACCCTTGAGAAATCCTCAACTCGGTTAGCCTTAGAAGGCCAGGCCAAGCCAAGAAGTAGTCGTATGAGTCGCTGAAGTCCTTCGAGTACTTTAGGTAGCAGAGCAGTACAGGTAGTCAGTAGTATTGGCATCTGTTCTACATATCACTGAGGCTCTGGAGACTTCTGGGCAGGCATTGCAGCTGCTGCCAATGCTGGCAAGGCACTGGGCTTTGTTCGTGGCCAGGGTTCGGGGGCTTTAGGCAAGCTGGCTCAGGATCTTGGAGTTTGGCGGGGCTTCGCGAAGATTGAATTTTGGAAATCGAAGATTCTGGACCCGTGGTTTTTGCAAGAAGGCCAGCAGGTCCTTCGCTGGCTCAGGCAAGTGGAAGGGTGCTTAAGTCGGGGCAGCGAGGGCTCATGTTCTGTCCTCAACTGATCCCTGAGCGAACTGTTAAAGAGCTCTCCGCAAAGCGCCGAAGCCCAAGCTGCCAGGCTGGAATACCGTGGGCTTCGCGGCCAAGGCGTGCAATGCCATGATGTCATTGTTCAGGGTGAGGATGGTAGTCCAACCCTTGCAAAAAATCTTCCGCTGTTTCGCAGGTGGCCTTGTCACATTCCTCCGACCTCGTTCTGCGCAGTGAGAGATCGAGCTGCACTAGCCGCATCGGTAGACTTCCGTGGCCAACTTGCCCTTGCTGACCCACAGTGGCTTCTAGCGTTGAATGCTTAGCTTGCCCCTTTCATGTCTGTGCGGGTGCCACCATCATTGTCTGCCAAGGACGCGCCCGGATCACCGGCTCTCCAACGGTCTCCGTCGCGGAGGTGCCCCGTTGGCTTCTAAGTGACAGGAAAGAGAAGCGGCTGCTGGTTCCCATCCTTGGTAAGGTTGCGCATGATTTCAAAATCGCTGAACGGTTGTAGCAGGTTGTAACCCTTGGCTCCAGTCCAGACTTTGTAGGGACGCGGCAGCCTGGGCTGCGGGTTGTCCATCTTTCGAGCGATTCCCGCCAGCTTTCGGAGGACATGGGGTTTGTCCCCTTCTTGCCCGACATCAGCAAGAGCGCGGACAACAACCGGATTTTGCGGTGCAGGGCTTGCAGCGACTCTGTGGAGCATTGGTGAAGCATTGTTGTGTTCTTCATGTTGGTGTTCAATGCTTGTTATAAAGCAAACCTCCGACAACCTGGTGCTTTTGCCTACTTGCTTTTGGAACGCGGTCGCGCCAGGCTTCCGCAAGCGCTTCCGAGCATTGGCGCGAAGCGCTGACCACAACCTTTGCCATGAACCTTCAATGGAGACAGCCGTGCTTCTCGTGGGCGACCTATGTTCAGAAGAGCTCCGGCCCGTCATCGCCGCGGTGCCTTTGCCCAACTTTTCCAGCAAGACTTTAGCATGCTGACAGCACTTGGAACTTGAATGTCCAAGGCCCCGTGCCATGGGACGCACATCGCGACCGTGGTGTCCTTCAGAGCACGGCTGAAATGTTTGAGGTAAAAGGAAGATCCGTTTTCTTCTGGCATCGACATGCATCTTTCACCTAGTTTCGCCGATGCAGCAGCCGCAAATTCATGTTGCTGCAGCTGCGGCGGGTGTCAGCCACCATCAGTAGCTAGTGTCCGAGATGGCGCTTGGCATACCTAGCTACTCTTCATGGACGTTGATTTTGACCGCGCTCGGTACTAGCGACTTGTGCACGCATTGCCGTGAGACATGGAACCTCATGTCCATTTGGTCCCGTGTTGTGGCCGCTTGCCGTTGCGCAGAAGCGGCGTGCCACCGGTGAGGCGTGTTGGCACGTTGTGCAGGGTTGCTGCTTGTGCTCGGCATGGTGGTGGCGCGTGAGTCAGTGGCACATGCACACAAATCTCTGACCGAACACACCAAAAACACCCAAACCGCCGGAAATGAGACCTTGGAAAAGACGAAGTGCAGCTCCTCTAGAACCAGCGCCAGTTCAAGCCCTTGTCTTACTTCCTTGCAGCCCCTGGAGAAGCCAAGCGAGCCCGGAACCCTCTCCCAAGCCCATGCAAGAACCCCAGAGAGCCTGAAGATGCCGGTGCCCTGCCAAGCTTGGCAGGAGCCCTGGGCTTCCGGAGAGATGGCCGGATCAGATGTCATAGCGCCGCTTGCTTCTGGTCCAGATTTTGCGGAGCGTCTTTGGAGCAGCTTCGGGTGAGGGCTTTAAGGATGATCGCTGCGCTATAGCTCGGTCTGTCTCACTCTCTCTCTCTCTCTCGCGATGGTAAGGGTCCTGCAAACTCACCAGGTACAACCGAGAGATCACAGCCTTTGCCAAGGAGGCACGTGGCCCTGTCCCAGCCAACCACGCATCTCAGCATCTCAGCATCTCTGCTCTGCTGGAGGTGCAGTGGCAGGAAGCCTTGCGCAAGCTGGCAGAGCTTCCGAAGAGCTTGATGCAGCCGAGCACTGTTTCATACAATGCGACCATGCCGCCTGGCCGCTGTTGGCCCTAGCTACTAATGTTTTTATCAAACATGCTAATATTATTGTTTTATAATGCATGTTTTACGAATGTTTTATAAAAGATTGACAGTTCTACACCCGGTCGAGTTGTCAGATGTCTCAGGTTCGCCTTTGAGCTAAGGAAGGCCTGCCAAGGGGCAGCGGAATGGAAGCTCGCGCTGGCTCTGCTGTCAGAGCTTCTTCGAGGTCAGCAACGAAACGGACATATTTGTTGTTCGTCATGTCAGTATAGGTTTCACGGTTTGCTTGAGCTCCTCCGGAGTTTCCAGGTGAACTGCAAGCCACGCAGATCTCGTTCGGCAGCCTGGCTTTGGCAGGTGTCCCCCAATCACTCAGCGGACCGACGCAAATCCCTTGAAGCCGGAGCTTGGACAGGCCGCATGACCCCAGCCATGACCACAAGGGACATCTGAACCTTGCACCTTGCACCACCCCAAAAGCCCAGAACTCGAGCATTCTCGAAGTCGAACCTGAACCCTAAACCCTAAACCCTAAACCCTAAACCCTAAACCCTAAACCCTAAACCCTAAACCCTAAACCACGAAGCGCCAAAGCGCTCCCAGACAGCACCTCAAGAGAAGGTACAGCGATCAGTGCCTGCGATGGTTCCTCGTGGGCGCAGGCGCTGCGGCTGCTGGGAAGCCTTGCGGAGACCAACCTGGAGATGGGCCCGTGTTGGGAGGTTTCTTCATAGGAGGGTTCTAGGATACTTTGGGGGGTGTTTTGTGAGTAAGAAGTGGGTCTTGACCAAGGGATTGGGAGACTGCTTGATTCAGGGTGTTAGCTGATGCTCATGATGCTCGCCGGACTCCGCAAGGGTTGCGAAGCCGCTGCTCGCCCGGTCGCCCTCGCCCTGAACCCCTAAGCTCTTCTAAGCTCTTCTCGGGGAGAGACCTTCCGCTGCTCGTGTTTTGCGAAGCAATTAGTCGTGTCGCATCGCAGGAGCCCAACCGCATCCTCTTCAACGCTGCCACAGGCATGGGGAAGCCACGCGGTAGTCCTCTTCGGATGTTGCCGGCGGAAATTTCCAATAGAAGTTTAGGCTGGACAGCCCCGATCTTTCAAGTGAGATTGGATGGCCCAAATGCCCTAGACCCCTAACCCCTAAACCCTAAACCCTAAACCCCACTCTCACTTCTGAAGTGGCTTGACTAAGCAGGCGCTTGTGCCGCTGGAAAGTCCTGGCCGGAGGCCATGCAGCTGACAAAGTGGCTTGTCAGGGTTTTGTGGCGTTTAGGGTTTGTGGCGTTTGGGGTTCGATGGGGGGGGGGTTAGGGTTTGTAGGATTTGGGGCTTATAAGGTTTGGGGATGTAGGGTCGCGGCATGTTGTGGCGGTGCGCGGGATTCGGGCTTTGGGCTCTTCAGAGTGGCCTTGTGGCTTGCGATGGTTTGGACAATCTTGCTACGCTACGGTGGGTCTGGGAGCAGCGTGTTTCTGTCGAGCACCCAGATCTGTGACTGGCGCGCGCTCTACTTGAGGCCATCAGCGTTTCGGGGTTTCCGATGCAAGAAAATGCGCCGCGCCGAAAACCTGGACAACCCTTTTGCGTAGTGCCCGAGGCTCAGCGTACAGAGGCGGATTCGTCCCGACAGCGCCTGGGCATGTGGCAAGTTGGTGATGAGGGTTTTGGTGTGCTTTTGACATGGTTTGACCGGGGGCAGAGTTGTCGCAAGACTCCGCACTTTCGGCACTGTCCTTGACCTGAATCGTCAGTGTGAGCTTTAGACGCAGTGTACCCTCAAGACCTCCAAGCTCCTCAGCTGCTCGAAGTTGCACGCGCAGGTCAACGCAGCGGCACGCAGCAGTGACGTGCAAGTAGCCGCAAACCCCAAACCCTAAACCCTAAACCCCAAACCCCAAACCCACTACACCCTAAACCCTAAACCCTGAGCACCATTTTCAGGCTTCACCTGCACTGTGAGCCTCGGCTACGGGGATCGGGGCCCATGGCCCGTGGCGCTGCAGGCAACTTCCAGGGGAGCTCGGGGGGGCTCCTGGAGAGGGTTTAGGGTTTAGGGTTTAGGGTTTTAGGGGTTTAGGGTATAGGGTGTAGGGTTCAGGGTTACGGTTCAGGGTTTACGGTTTCGGGTATGACGGCATTGGGGATAACGAGGCCTTCGCGAAGTTTCTGGGCTTTGGAGCCAGTGGCCTTGTTTTGATGAGACACTGCGTGCACCAGGATGCTCGCCAGGATGCTCGCCAGGATGCTCACCAGGATGCTCTCACCAGGATGCTCAAAGACCGAATTTGCTGCGAGACATTGGACAAATGGAGGAAAGACGACTGGAAGGCTTGGAATCCGATCCTGAACAGATGAAAGAGAGAAAGAGGGAGAGAAAGACAGATCGATCGCTGGATCGAGAGAGAAGGGTGCGGAAGAAGAGGAAGAAGAAGAAGAAGAAGAAGAAGAAGAAGAAGAAGAAGAAGAAGAAGAAGAAGAAGAAGAAGAAGAAGAAGAAGAAGAAGACGAAGAATACGCAGAATAATAATAAGAAGAAGACGAAGAAGAAGCAGAAGAATAAGAATATTCATAATAAGAAGACGAATACGACAAATAAGAAGAAGAGCGCACTGAATCCTAAACCCTGCGACCCTTGTCAGTTAGCGTCTAGCCTCCCCACCTTCCCCAACTTTGTTGCAGGTCTTGTGTGCCAACCTCATCCATGGTGTGGAGCTGCTTTTTCGCAACATGTCCCCCAACATTTGCAGGGTCCAAGTGCCCCGAGACTAGATGAGACAGGCCATCCATGACTCATGAAGCCGTGGCATAGTGTGGGCTGCCTCCCGCTGCCTCCCGTGCTTTGCCACTAGATGTTGTGTTCGAGGGTTGGGGATATCATGGGATATCTCATGTCATGTCGAGCCCCCTTCTTCGACTTGCTCCCAGTGCCCCGATCTTATCACCAGTGGGTTTAGGGTTTATGGTTTAGGGTTTTGGGAATGAGGTCCTCACGCAGCCTTCCTTTGTGAAGCCCGCCAGGAAGCAGCAAAAGCCAACCACAAGCTGCCTAAGCTTGTATTGATACCCTGAAGCCACTTCGTATGCCTCCAGAGCACTTCAGCCCTTCCGGAACAGCTCTCTTTTCTGAGTCTCTGCGCATCTCTCCGCCCATTGTGGGAGCCAGTTTGCCGTCCAGAGCTTGGGGTGATACAAAGCAGTTGTTGACACAGTACAAAATGACCAAGCAATGCCTCTAAACACATTGAGGGTTATTGAGACACTTGAACACAACTCCGCCTATACAATGTGGCAAACCAATGTCCATTGTCATTGAGACCCTGATTGGCTGGTTCTTCGTATGAGGGAAATGGGGCCTTATATACTCCCTTAAAGGGTGTAAGCAGGGCCCAATTCCCTCATTCCCTAAACCCTAAACCCGGAACTCTAAACCCTAAACCCTAAACCTTAAACCCTACTAAGAACCACGGGGGATTAAGGCTCGGCGTGATCTCCTTCAACGCTGCCGTCAACACTGCGGCCGCGTGGGGTCGCTGGAAGCAGGCACTGCAGAGCGTCCGCCAGCTTGACAAGGCCGGGGCTTTTCGGGTCTTCTTGGGGGGCTTAGGGTTTAGGGTTTAGGGTTTCGGGTTTAGGGGTTTAGGGGTTCAGGGGTTTAGGGGTTTAGGGGTTAGGGGTTTAGGGTTTAGGGATAAAGGGCATCTGCGATGCTTGCTTCGTCTGGATTCGGAGGCTTAAGAAAGGCTAAGTGGACATGTCGGTAGGGCCACCTCCGGCCCAACATGGCGACGCTCCAAGCCGCGATGATGCTTGGCTGAGCTCTTTGCAGCTGCGATTGTGATGTTTTTTTGTTTTGTAGGGCCCTATGTAGGCCCTAACACTTCAACTGCAACCCCAAAACCCAAAACCGAACCCTGCGTGGTCGGGAATTTGTGTTCGAGCGAGGAAAGCGTGCCAGCAAGCGGGCCGATGGCATCAGGTGCTGCAGTCACTGCACCAGCTCCACATGCGGGGCCGGGATCCCGGGACCTCTAGCACCTCTAGCCCCCCCGAATCAGAGCTTCTTGAGCAGCAGAAGGGGAATCTGTAGAAGGCCGAAAAAGGGCTGGCTTCAAAGCCAAGGCTGCACATCACGTGGGGTGTTGGGACAATACAATTGCAGCCTTATAGGGAAAACTCGGGAGAACAAGCCAACCTGACGGATTCATGATCTGCATGTTTCAAATTTTTAACTTGTCTGCGCGCGGAAGATTATTGCCACATGCACAGTTGTGTATCATGTACATCCAGTTCTAAACGCCCGCGGGCTAAGGTGTGCTAAGCCTGCTAAGCCATGCTCTCATCGGAACCCAACACTGACGTCGACCTGTTTCCCTACAATTTGCACATACGCTGCGCGTGCAGCATGCTCATCCTCTGTGGGTCCGTCTGTGGGCACTGCCTCAGCTCACTAAGCCCAACTGTCTACTGCACTGAGCACGTCACGCAACTTAATAGAAACATCCTCTGTTTGAGACATTTTGGGGCCATATCTCCCCGCAAACTTCCGATCCTTCAAGTGCAGCGCGACAGCTTGGGCGGACACTTCTCAGGCCACAGATGGGACCTCATCTCCTTCGCGACTGCTGCTGGAGGCGACCTACACTTGCATTGCTGTACAACCCACGTGTCAGGGACGGATGAAGTGCTTGGAAGCCCAACCCGAAGTGTTTGCCCCCTTTGGGCCACCCGACCTCTCTTGAGAGTCATGCCTCGAGCTGGGAGATGGTCGCTGCCCCAACCATGGGTGAGGAGACACGGAGGGACATGCTGGAGGTCCAAGCTGAGAAGTTCTGTTCAGAAGCGTTGTGATCGATGTCCAGAGATGGAAGATCATATAGTCGGGGCCGGCAACAGGCCTTCACAAGACAGATGGCGAAAGTTTACATCTTTGAGTTTGGCAGTATGCCAGCAAACAACTGACGCTGTCAGAGCCCAGAAGCAGCAAACGTCGCTTCAGGACACCTCCCACATCAAGCTAGAGGGACAGCCCCGCGAGGCAGCACGTCCGCAGGGCGCTGGGCACATGCAGCAGCTTCCCTGCACGGCCTTCGGAAGGACCCTGCCTTGCCATTCGCGTCAGTCGAGGTTTTTTTTTGCGGTGTTGAAGAGTTTGGTGGATGTCAGAGGCATGCCTGAGTATGGAGTTCTACGCTTGGGGCATCTTAAGGCCAGAGACACTTTCTTTCCATCCAAAGGCTTGCTTGAGGACAGCCCCCTTGAAACTGGAACAGAAACCGGAAACAGCGAACTTTTCCCTGAAAAAAAAAAACGACACGAGTCCCCATGAAAAGCCACCCTAAACCCTAAACCCTAAACCCCAAACCCTAAACCCTAAACCCTAAACCCTAAACCCTAAACCCTAAACCCTAAACCCTAAACCCTAAACCCTAAACCCTGAAAACCCTGGGAGGCCCAGCTGCGCTCCAACAGCGCGGTGGGCGCCTCCGTCCTCGGCACCTTGGCCACCCGCGGGCCATGGAGGAAGGCAGGGCCTAATGTTTTTGGGGTGCTGAAAGCTACCTAAGAACCCCCCTGGAAATATACGAGATCATTCCTTATGAGGACAGTATAGGGATGATGAGGGCAGTATAGGGATGATGAGTCTACGTGTCTTTTTTTGGGGGTTCTCAAGCAAGATGTAGGAAGGGTCCGGCTCTTGTGTGGTACCGTGGTGCCCTATAGTGGGCCCAAAGGCAGCCCACAAGCCCCAACGAAACTTCGAGAAAGCCAGGGGGGGCCTTTGGGCCCTTCATTCCGGCGAAAGCTCAGGGAGGTTCAGGGAACTGCACCATGGTCAGGGTCTGTAGGGTTCAGGTTGCAGGGTTGAGGGATGCTGGGGGTTTCGGCTTTAAAGGGCCACTTCAGCTCCGGCGCTCCGTGGTGCAGGCGCTGCTGTTCTTTGGCACCCTGCCCCGCCTCCGCATCGAGGTGCGCGCGTCGCCGCATCTCGGACTCTCCCTGCTCATGCGCCATGAAAGCCACGACTCGCCGGTATTCCTAACAGAAGCCTTCTCTCTACACACCCGAAACCCAAAACCCTAAACCTGCTTTACTTATCTGGCTTTCTGTGTTGCTTTGGTCACTCGGCCACGTGTGGGAAGTCGTAAGGTTCCTCTGACTCCGCCAAGAGATCCACATGAAATATTCCCGATTGGTGCGCTTGTCAGGACATCGCGCTGCAGACATAGGGTTTAGGGTTCAGTGGCCTAGGAATGTCTTCAAAGTCTGAGGTATGCAGACCTGGTGACTTCAGTCGCTGTCGGCCGCTGGCGACTGGCGGCGCGTCTTGTGCTCGGCAGTGCCTGGGTTGATCTAATCATATCAAGGCGTGTGTGTCTGAAAAAACTATTTGTACATATTGAATGCCGGATCTTCCACAGTGTCTATGAAAGTACCAGGGCCGACTTGCGAATGCGTAGCAATGTAGCAGGACTTGTGCAGGTCTTGAGGGAGAGCACTCTAATTAGGGGCACGACATGGCGAGCCTGCCTTTCCCTTCTGGCCACGAACTTCTGGTGTCAGGGCCGATGGACAATGTCAGCCTGAATGCTCCACTTTCTGCGATTGCACATCGCGGTCAATGGAGGCCATTCCGATCCTGTCAAAGATCGACACCTCAACGAACTCAGCGAATCTCAACGATCAGAGGTAATCTCCTGCAAACGGCGGTCTGCCCTCTGAATAGGACTTCTCATCGCATTCCCTCGGCTTGGCGCAGGAACCCCTAATCGTGGAACATCGTGGGTACGCCGATACGAAGAATCAAGATGGCCGTCAGGTTCGTCCTTGTCACCGTGGCGCTGCGCTCCACCGAGGGCAAGGCGGCGGGGGGGGCCGTGTGAGAAGAATGACGCCCGTTCTGGCCTTGTATAGACCTGTGAGAGTCGCCTGCTACCCCAAGTTTAGGCCTTTATGTAGACGAGCTTGGAGGGCGTGAGGCCTGCCGCGCTTGAGCCACACTTGAAACGCTGAAGCAGCGGGTAGGATCAACAACGTTTTGAACAGATTGACTTACTTCCCGGCTAAACTTAAAACCCTTCAAGGAGAAAAGGAAAGCTAGTAAGTGTAAGCGGGACAACCACTGCACCTCGGCTATGTGAGGCGGCCGTTTAGGGTCCGCAATGAGGCGGCGTAGGAGGGGTTCGGCTACAGGCTTCAGGGGCCCATGGGTTTCATCGAACCGTACGCGGGTCTGATATCATACCCACGTGGCATATCGTGATCTCGAAAATCGGGATCCCCCCTCGGCCCCGTGCGTTCGTTCGCGCGTGAGAACCGCTCGCCGTCCCCAAAAATGTGGCCGGGACTGCCTCTGGGGTGATTGGACGGCTTCCTGTTCTCCTGGGCTGTTAATCGGAGAACTAGGATTTCCGGTATGTCTTCGCATGAACTTCTCCCTTTCGGCCATGTTTTCTTGAATGGGATCGTGCATGCCTTAAATATCCTTAAATTATGTTCTCATAGGAACTCATTCGTTTCGATGTCTTTTGAATCGAAGCTCATCCACTTCTTGTATGTTCATAGCTAAGACTTCCTGCATGTCTTCATAGAACTCCTCAGTTTCCCGACGCCAACTTATTGCAAGCATGGTGATCAGCTGGCTACCTCTTGAGGCATTTTGCAGCTTCCTCGTATGGTTTCGGGCTTTTGGGATGAGGGCTTGTTCTGCAAATTCTGCGATGTTGGTTTTTGCATTCCTTCGCCCTGGCTTCTTTCTTGTTGTCGTTGTTCCCTTGTGTGTTTTCATTCATTCATTCGTTCGTTCGTTCATTCATGCCATCTCTCATCTCTCGGTACTGCTGCAGTGGTTTTGAACCTCACACATTCTTGAACTTTGAGAGTACTGTTTGTTGATCCTTCTTGTTGTTGATCCTCAGTTCGGCTTGAATTGTTTGAAGCGATCCCTGCAGGAAACAGCTCCTGATGCGGCGCTGGCTGCCCGCTGCGAGAGCGGGTCCGCCTCCCTAGTTGTGCGGCACCCAAAAACCCTAAACCCTAAACCCTAAACCCTAAACCCTAAACCCTAAACCCTAAACCCTAAACCCTAAACCCTAAACCCTAAACCCTAAACCCCATCCTACGCCCGATCCTACACCCCTTCATGACCCAAACATGATTATTATTATTATTATCATTAATATTATTATTACTATTATTATTATTATCATTATTATTACTATTATTATTATTGTTATTATTATCCTCATCTGAACGTAAAGTATCAACGCGGGGCGCCTCGAGGGCTTGGCCCACCGCCACGGCCGGGCTCTCCAGCGTGCGCGGGCTCCTGGCACTCCTCGGCGCCACTGGGCGAAGTGGCGAAGTGCAGCTTCCTCTTTTTTTTCTTTTTAAAGGGGTTTAGGCGAGCCTTCCTTTCCGGGTCTCCATGTATGGGGGTTTTGTTCGGGTGTAGGGCAGAAGCTGGTGCAAGCAACAGCCACGGCACCCTGGCCGAAACCTGGGGCCCCCTGCCCAGGTCCTGGCGCAGCAGGGCCTTTGGGGTCATGCGCTGGCCAAGCTGCGCCTCTGGTTTTTTTAGGGGCGAGTTGCAGGCTGAACAGCCAGCACTCTGGTTCGGGAAGCTTTGGTTACTTTTGTTTGTTTTTTTTCTGGCAAGCTTTGCAAACCCCTGTTGACCTAGCTTGCCTGGCTGCCCTGTGAGCAGTTTCAGCAACGTGAGAAGCGCGATGAGGCGCTGGGCTCCAAGCGTGGGACTGCAGGCTGCGGTCATGAGAAGACTTCCATTTCTGCATTTGGCAGGATCCCTGATATTTCATTGCCACCCCTGTACTGTGGTGGCGGTACCATGGCATTAAAAATTTAATAGCAGCGACAAAAGCCTGGAACAGCCGGTGGTAAACGTGATGGCAAGCCCCTCCCCCCTGCGACGCGGCACTGAGTCTTTGCACATGTCTTGACACCTTCGCAGGCCTCGCTTCTGTGCTGCAACGCGGCCCTGAGTGCCTGCGAGAAGGGCGGTGGCCCGGCATGGGCCCGGTATGGTCGGGAGGATTTTGGAGGTCCTTACCCGGTGTCTCGGGCTTCAGGGGCTTCCAGAGTCGTGTCGCGAGTTGAAGTTTGAAATCTTCTGTCAGTCCACTCCTTAGATCGCAGCACGTGTGACAAGCTACGCACGTCTGCACTACATGCTAACGAAGTTTCACTGCAGTTCCGCTGCTGGCAGTAGTGCTCGCCGCCCAAGGAGCCTGGCGACGAGGTTGCTGCCTGTGGCTTTTATGAAATTACCGGGGTCGCCTTGGGAGCCAGATATCTTGCGCGCCAGTAATCGCGTCCTGCGAGCTGCCGTCATGACATCCGTGCGCCTGGGACGGGGTTTGTACAGCAAAAAGCGCATTCATGTTAAGTTCGAAGCTCGTCTCAGCCCCCCAGTCTTTGAAGCGCGAGATTGGAGTAATGGAGCAGTATTTTGGCGCACCAGTAATCTGGCACTGGCACTGCCCCTGACAGAGCTTCCCAGAGGTTGGCGCAGCTTCCCCGCCGCCGCCTTGGGGCTACAGATCTTCTGATGCATTCTCGAAAGCAGGATTGTTGGGTTGCGGTTCAGAGAAGCCTTCGGGCCTGGTGCCTCTGACCCTGGGACCATAGGTTATGCTACCGCGCCAGGAGACCAATCTCCAGGTTCCATGTTGCAGGTTGAGCCTCTGAGGTCATCAGCTTCAGCGCTGCCCTGAGCGCGTGCGAGAAGCGAGCGGAGTGGACCGAGGCGACTCTGGCTTGGGGCTGGAGGAAGGGTTGGAGGTTTGGAGGTTGGAGATTGGAGGTATCAGGGGCTTCCAGAGGGGAAGTCTGTCGGGCTGGGTCTCCGAGCTTTCTCCTCAATCTCAGCGTCCTGAATAAGATCACCACGAGCTGTCACGAGCTGTCACGAGCTGGATGCCGAGATGGAAGGCCCATCTGCTCTTGGTGCACCTCTGGCGAGATGGCCTGGAGCCGAATGCTGGGGCCCCAGGCATCATGTTGAGGGCTTTCGCACCCAGAGTTTCTACTTCCCCACTTGCTTAGCACATCTTAGCACCCAGACCCAGCAGTCAAGCCAAGAAGCAACCAGGAGGTCACATTCTCGGCCATGACCAGCGCGTGCGGCAAGGGCAAGCAGTGGCAGCAGGACTGGGATGTCAGCGCTTGCTTGTCAAGTTCTCGGAAGTCTAAGGATGCACGAGTTGAGATTTTCAGGCTTCTTCTGCAGCACGCCGTGTCCACACAGCAAGTATCGTTCCGCCAACTACCGGATCCATGGGCAATGGTCAGAGAGTGCCTTCCACATGCCATGAATCCAGCGATGATGGCGACATGGCGCATATCATGTGCAAGCACAGTGCTCAGCAGGCAGTCCTGGTCTTCAGCAGCTTGCTGGCTGGTTTGGAGGTCAGCTTGACGCCTGTGCCCAAAATGTGACATGAGGTCGGCTCTGCCTTTGAAACGGATCTGAACACCAAAGTTCGCACGCCGGGTCTGTTGCGTGGAATGCATGCCATCGCCTGTCCCGAAACCACGAACAGCCATCTGCCTTCTCCGAACCCTAACCTTCATGTTCGGGTACAGCGCACTTGGGGCGCCAGGGCACCCACTTCTTCTCAGCATTGCAGCAGCAAGGATTGCCTACAATGCAGCCATCGCAGCTTGCGAAAAGCGCGAACGATGGCGAAAGCCTCAGCGTCCTGGTGTTTTTTTTCTTGGGGCGTTTGGGAATGATGGTTGAGGGAGTATTACTTCCTACGATGGGGTTCCTACATCTGCGGGTAGGGAGAAAGGTGTGACCCTGCGCAAAGTCGTAGCTCGATGACCCTCTCGCCCCTAGGTGCCGTGTGCTCAGTCGCTCCTTCCTCCACAAGTCGGGAGCCCCCCTTGAGCTGGCGTTCGAGAGAGTGGGCAAACGGACGGCATCCGAAAAGCAAGGCAAATGGGACCCAGAGAAACAGAAAAAAGATCAAGAGGCGGGTGGCAGACCAAGATACAAAGTTGGTAAGGGACCCCAAGACTGGGGAGAAAAGATGCCGGCATCACAAACACGGAGCGACCCAGAGGTGTCAATTGAGTCCCGAAATTCTCAAACCCTGAGCCCTCCAAAAAGCTGGGCGCTTTCCATCCTCGGTAGGCTAAGTGAGACCCTTAAAAGGGAACCCTTTTTAGGAACCTTGTTGAAAGGGTCTATATCCCCAAGATTCCCTCTACTTCTATCCCCCATTCCAAAAGGCGGCAATCGCTGGCGCTGCTGTCACGTCTGGATGGCTCGGCTCTGGTGGCTGCGCCTGGGTCAGGGTATTTGGCGCATCCGGTGCGGGGAAGGGTTCACAGCTGCTTCGGGCCCGAGCCCCTTTGGGATGTGCGGGCTTCGCATAATTTTGCAGTCAGAATGTTGCTGGTCTTGGATTTAGGTGGTTGGGCGGGTGTTGTCCGGTTCCCCAGGTCTGTTAGTTTGCTTGTTCCGAGACCCCGGCAACGTAGGGGCGCATGCCTTAGCGATTGTTTCCCGACCCCTGTGACGCCACGCCTAACGTAGAGGTGGGTAGCCGCCCAAAGCCTATCTGCTGATTGCCTCCCACTAGAATTTGGCAGGATAAGCAGAATCCCGAAGATGTACTCCAAGCGTGGCCCGCGATGCCCCAGTGTATCCAAAAATGGGTGACCGTCTGGATATTACGGGTCCCACAGGGTCTATCAAGTTACATGCTTGGATGACCATTGCCCAGCTTTGAGGACAGAATATCGTACGACGCGGTTCTCAGCGCGTGTGCCTTGGCAGCAAATGAGAACCGTGTTGGCTTCTACCCCAACCTTTTGCCGATGGACTCTGTTCCGTGACCTCATGGGGTAGACAGATTGAACAGCTGCTAAGCAACGTTGAGTGTTGTTTGGGTTGATGTTATCTTGGGGAGTTTCTGGAGGGTTCAGCTCGCCAGCCACCGGCTGGGTCTCGGTGGCACGTCGCATCGGGGTTTAGGGTTTAGGGTTTAGGGTTTAGGGTTTAGGGTTTAGGGGTCTTCGGGGTCTTCGGGGTCGAAACAAGGAGGATGGATGGCTTGGGTTGAGACCAGTTTTCGACCCAGAATCTCAGGCATGCAAAACCTTGACATGTTCTGTCTAAAGACCATCTGACAGACCGGTCGTTCGCAACCCAAGTAGACCCGTGCAGAAGACCCCTCACAACCCCTCAGTGCCTTTGGATGTTCTGTAGAAATTAGATGGCGTGTGGCTGAGAACGCGCCTTAAGCTTCCCTAAGCCCCCTAAGCCCTAAACCCTCAACCCTGAACCCTGAACCCTGAACCCTAAACCCTAAACCCTAAACCCTAAAAGATCACAGGTCACAGTGCGCTGGCCTGGCAACGGGTGCTTCGCCTCTTCGAGGGGGTGCTTTGCAGGAGCTCAAAGTGCACTCGATTCTGCCACTGCCAGAATGCGCAGCAAGTCGCTTCTGCGAAGGTGTTTGGAGTATAGGGTTTAGGGTTTAGGGTTTAGGGTTTAGGGTACGTTAGGGTGACAGGGGTAGGGTGGCTGTGGAAGGTGTTGCTTTCCAAGCTGGCAACACCCGGTTGTTGGTTGCAGGAGCGTGGAGGTCGATCTCATGGCTTACAACGCAGCGGCCCGGCACCAAAGCAACAGTCTGAGGAGGGTGCAGGGATCAGCCAGGTGGGCTCATCTAGTTTTGCCATCCGATGTCCAGTTGCATGTGAGCTTCCAGAGTTTCCAGAGCTGATTCGGTCCCTTGAAACCACGCCATGCATGTCGCGCACTCCCGCAGATACTGCAGTCGTGCTGCCACATCCACCCACTTTGCGCACAGTAACAATGTCAAGTCTCAGCACATGCTAAGCCGACAAGAACCCAAACAGATTCAAGGCTCTCAGCGCCTGCGATGCCGGTGGCAAATGGCAGACAGCACTGGTTTTGATGGAAAAGCTGAGCAACGAGGCCGGACAAGGCGTCATAGGAATCTCACACGCTTGGCTCAGACCCGCAAACATGGACTAATGTACATTGTGGCCATCTGGACAGCCCTGGCATTTTTTCACCAGCTCAGGGGATCAGCCCCTCCGTGGTCTCCTACACTGCCGCGGTGGGCGCCTGCCAGCGCAGCATTGCGTGGAGGCGTCCTTGCCTTGTCTGTCAGAGCTTCTACTGTATGAGCGGATCCCATGGCCTTCCTTGATGGTTCAAAGCAGCTACAGCCAGTGTAAGCTAGTAAAACCTAGAGACAGGACCCTTCATTCCAGATCAGAGCATGAACTAATCACACCATGGCCACCATGGCGCCTGTTCATTTTTAAGTGAGCTTTCGAGAGGATACCACAGCTCATCATCCTCAGACTTGTCGAAGTACTTGGCAAACCCCTATAGCCGTTAATGCCATTCTCTTGCGGACGGCCCAGAACATGAAGCATGGTGCGGTTTCTTCTCGAGCTCACGCTGCCTGTGTGCTTGCTTCTCCTTCAACTGCTCTGGTCGTATGTTTATCCACATCTCTCGGATGAGTTGAACTTTCGTGCAGAGCCTCCGCCGAAGGAGGCTTCTGCCACGGACAGCTCAGACAGCCCGTCGGACCCGTCGGGGCCCAAAGTACCCAAGGAGGTTGTCTTCACGGAGAAGTCGGTCATCTGGTTGACCCCAAGCGGAGAGAACAAGGAAGTCGCCGGCTCTGGCCCTGGCTCTGGGCAGGCTGAGCGCTCCGAGCTGCCTCTCTTCCCGCTTGGGGCCTCCTTTTATGCTTTGAACTCGCACCCGACTCTTCAGATTTTCGAGCCTCGCTACCGGCAGCTGTATCATGACATCTTGGCTTCCGGCAAGAAGTCCTTTGTGGTGACCGCTGCGGATCCGGAGACTGCGCGACTGGCAGCCTACGGTGTTATCTTTCATGTCGACAGCGTCACGGATGTGGGGGAACAGACAGGTGGTGAGATCAAGTATATTGCAGAGCACACGGTGAAGTCGCGCGTTCAGATTCACCGGGTCCTCAATCTGGAAGACGCCGCAGACGGTAGAACCTACCTGACAGTGTCGGCTGCTCCTGTGGAGGATGACGAAGACTCTGGTGATGAGGATTTGCATGACATGGAGGCCGAGGTTGCTGACATGTTCACATCCATAGTCGGTGATAATCTAGACTCTGAGATTCTCTCGCGCGGGCTGCAAGTCAACGCATCGCGCGGCGGTTTGTGGCAGCTGGCTGCCTTATGGTTGGACAGCTACGCGCGCCACCGCGTGCAAGCCATCCGACATCAACTGCATTCCCAAGTGAAAGAGGTGTACGAGCAGTATGCCAATGAGCACACGCAGGAGAACGAGTCTGTGGACGCGGAGGTGCGTGAACTGAAAGCTGTGTTCGATGCCGAGATGCGGCACCTGTTGGGGGAGCAGGTTAGCTTGGGGCAGTTGATCTTACAGAGCCGCTCCCACAAGGAGCGCTTGCACTTGCTGCGGTCCGCATTTCAGGTGGAGCGCCTCTTTGCCGCAGCAGCAGATCCTGAGTCGATGGCAGCGGCATTTGTCGGATGAGCAAGTTCAGCAAAGTCTGAAAATCACAGCCTTGTGACGACTGTCGGTTATGCGAGAAAAAGATCAATCAAGGAAGGATTGAAAACAAAGGCGCTCCTGGCCACCAAGTCCGGTAGAGGATCAGCGCAGCATGGCGCAGCTACCGCGCAGCTCTTACAGGCACTGCCCGAGTGTCACACGCTTCAGCATGCGAAAAGCGCCGGAGCCGTCCTATGCCGCTCGCCTGAAAGCGTGCGGTCGGCCTCCACTTTGCTGCAAAACGTGTGAAAACGTGTGAAGAGCAGTGTTTTAGAAACGGTACGACGCGCACTTGCCCCTGTCCTTGCTATCATGCACCCGGCCCGCCCAGCCGCCTCCTCGCACCTGGCCTCCACTTGGGACGCTCCTCTTAGTACGTATACCCTGTTATGCTGTTACATGCGGTTACATACTGTTACATGCGGTTACAACGGTTGCATATGGTTGCATACTGTTACGGCCCGTCGGCAAGCAGCATGGGTGCTGGAGTTCTCTCCATGGCCGGAGACATTCGGAGACTCAAGTGTCGGCCCGGCGGTCGGGTTGTTCGCCCTATGGCCGCCTTGCTCTCGGCCTTGATGTCGGGGGTGGGCGCATGCATCGCCAGGTCTCGGATGTAGGACTTGAGCAATGCCAGGTGGGATGTAAGGCGGTGTAGCTGTGCCGTCGGGGCGTCTTGACAAGTAGTTCTGCTCCAATGAACTGCTCCTTGTATCGTGACTTGGTGACGGCTCTGTAGGAGTTGTTGCATTGCCACGGCATGCCATCCACAAGACACGATAGCTGTGGCAAAGCGCGGACCTTTTGGTGTCAGCCCCAAAGAGCCGGCAACGCAGGATGGCCCTGGTACTTCTTGGCTGCCGCTTGGCAAGAGCAAGCTGAAAACACAATCCTGAATTTCCTGAGGCTTCGAGTTTCAGTGTCCTTGTGCAACGTGCTCCAGTCCGCCCTCCAACCAGGCTTTCTAGATGCTTGCACTGCAGAGACCATGACAGAAAGGTGCGGCGGCTGCCGGCGTCGAGAGCAATGTGGTGACCTTCCAGTCGGCGATGGCTGCCTGCGATGCTTGCCTACAAGCCGAATCCTAGACTTTCTCAGGTGCTTGGGCTTTTTGGGGGGGTTGATCGAGAGTGGCTCTTCTTGGCTCTTCCATGACTTCCATGGGTGCAGACTGTTGTCCAACGAAGGGTTCGGTGAAGGTCAGGTGCATACACCCGTTTGCCAAGCAACAGCTCCCTGACCATGCATACCCAGCGAACCATCTTCCAAGCCTATATGGGGGTTTACGAAAATAGGGGACCCCAAAAATCGACAAGAGTAGTAGGATTCCCTTATCATAAGGACCCCAATAAGGTGCCCCCAAAATATCGTAACCCCCCCATATACATCCGCGCATCACATTCCTTGCTCGGAAGGAGAAGAGTGGCCAGCTGTGGCCCTGCCGGCGCTTGGCCTCACAGATCCAGGTCCAAGCACTCCGGGCTTGCCTGCTTCTGGGAGTTTAGGGCTTTTGGGTTTAGGGTTTAGGGCCACTGAACGGGTTCAGGGTTTAGGGGGCCCTAAACTTGGGGCTTTCCTTGAGGGTTGAGGAGCGCGATTTCCCGGCCTGGGCCTTTAGGGTTCAGTTCTTGTCCTTGTAGGACCCAATTGGTCCAAGCCATGTCGAGCGGATGCAAAAAGAGGCGCGTGCAGCTGCTCCGCGGTAGGACTGTGCGCTGGCTTTATATGCAGTGCAATCGTGACGTTTTTGTGAATTTTGCATGCTGGTAGCCGCTTAAGCTCAATCAATGCTCATGAATCTTGTTCTTGTCAGCCAGGTTCAGCTTGCTTCCTCGGAGCCAGGTCCGTCGCCTGGTTTTGAAAGACTTGGCCTGGGATTCCTGAACCCTAAGCCCTAAGCCCTGAACCCTAAACCCTAAACCCTAACCCCTAAACCCTAAACCCTATACCCTATAAACCCTAAACCCTGGGTCAGCCCTAAGTCTACTTGTGGCGCCATGCCATGGCGCCGCCTCGCCGCGATGTTACAGGCCGCGGTCCCCGACCAGGATTCCCTTTTGCAGCTTGCAAGGGGGGTCGCTATGGGGAAGGGTAGGGTTTAGGAGTTTGGAGTTTAGGGTTTAGGGTTTAGGGTTTAGGGTTTAGGGTTTAGGGTTTAGGGCTGTTGGAGTTTTTCAGGTTTGAGCCTCAGTTTGCAAAGTGATCGCTTTGACGTGACTTTGGGGGGTGGGGGACTAGCTTTGGGTTTCGGTACTACTGGGGGGTGTGTGGGGGGAGGGGGGGTGGCGGGGGAGCGGGGAAGAAGGAATAGATGAAGATCGCAGCAAGAACCAAGCATGTTGGAGTATACGGCACCAGCGCAAAGTGTGAAGCATGCCTGGAGACACTTGAGAATGGCGCAGTTTGCTCGAGAGGGAGCAGCCGTTCTTGCCATTCGAGCAGGATATCTGGCCTGGAGTCACTTTAGGGTTTAGGGTTTAGGGTTTAGGGTTTGGGGTTCGGTTTACGGTTTAGGGCCGACCCGCATCTTCATGAAACAGATACCAGCGGTACTTGTAGGAGAGGCGAAACATGCAGGGCAAGCATAGGCATGGGTTCATTTTGTTCGGGTTTCCATTGCTGAGTGCCTCAGGACCCTAAACCCTAAACCCTAAATCCTAAACCCTAAACCCCAAACCCTAAACCTCAAAACCCTAAACCCTAAACCCTAATCCCTAAACCCTAAACCCTAAACCCACCCTTTCGAATTGCTGGCCCCACTGGAAAAGCAGGAGATCCCTGGGGCGGCAGGGCAGGGACGCAGTTGCGGAGGCGCGTGCTTCCCTGCTTTCCCAAGCGGAATCTGGAGCAACAATGAATCGAATGGATGTGACGAGTATGAGTAATACCTAACATGAATATGATTAGTATAGCTAATATATTAGCTTATAACTAACACAAATAGTATAGTAGTTAAGGCAGTTAGTCGAAAACATAGCATGCTATATTGAATATACTGAATATATTCAGTATACTTAATTCGTTCTATTGACAAAACATTACTATTCACATATTCATACAAATACAGACATGTACACTTTATATATACACAAACAGTACAGTTACCGAGATGTGTCTGGCACAATGCCCTTCAGAGAAGTCTGGATATAGCACCTGAATCCATAGCCTCTTCGTCTCTCAAGCCAAACTGAGACGACCGAGAGCCCTGCACTGGCCCTCCACTTTGCGAAGGCAGCGCCTGCCCGTCAAGCAGGGCAATACTGGCCTTTTGGAGCTACGCGCCTTGGGTTGCAGGTTTAGGGTTTCGGGTCTGCCTCGTAAGCTCCAGCGCTTGGGTTCAGAGTTCAGAGCATCGCACGTGTTTTGCCGGGTTCCTGTGGAATCAAGTGCAGGCCAGCATGTCTGGTGTTCAGGGGTGAGTTGTGCTGGACTGCGCACCCGCTTCTTCTCAACTCTCCACAGTACGCTGTGAACGATGATCTGGTGCTTGTCGGACTTTAACAGGGTGGGTTCATGTTCCTGAACCCTCTCGCGGAATCTACCACATGAGCAAGGGCATGTGGTGGGAGCTCCAGGCAAACGATGTGAGGACTCTGTGAAGCCCGCCTAAAATTCCAACACTCCAAGTGTGCTACAGCCTCAGAGCCTAGCCACAAGCAGCCCCCTCCCCCTTTTGAAGGTTCAGTGAAGTACCGAAATGTGGAGAGAGCCCTGCGGCCAGTCCTGCAGGCCTGGGGAGAGTACAGTTTACTACAAAATGTTTCAGTTCAGGAGACAGAGTTGGACCTGAGGCGGAAATTTGTGCTGGGAGATCCCCTGTTGCATGCGTGCGCACGCGTGTTGCCCCGCCCTCATGTCGGCTGCACAGTCATGCCTAGCTACGCTTCACCAAGTCCTCGGCCATGCCACTGCAGCAGCTTGCATGGCTCTACAGTAAACTCTAAAACGTTGGAACATCCTATCCCCATACCCTAAAGGGTACACTCTAGAGGGAATCCCAGCTCGAATCATCCTTTAACCATGTTCCAACTTTTTTGAAGTTTAGGGCTGTCAGATGCCATCCTGTGAGGATTGGAAGTGGAACCCAGACCTCGCGACTTTCGAGTTGAGGACCGCCTTGCTGCGGGGTTTTTACCCTCTAAACCCTCTAAACCCTCGAAACCTTCTAAGCCTTCTAAACCAAAAACCCGAACCCCACGCCCGAAACCCTAAGCCTTAAAGCTTATCACTATGCGGGCAGCCTCGGCCTACTGGGCCGCACGCGTCGGGCAGCCACGTCCACCCTTCGCCGCCGCCCCCCCTCCCCCCCTTTTCTCCGAAGGTTGGGGGTCTTTAGTGTTGACACAGAAGGGAACAGAAGCCTCCTGAGTCCTTGGCAGACTTCCGGCGAGCTGGCCAGAAGCAAAAGGGGACCCCCTACGAGGGACTTTCAAAGCTGCTGCCAGCACGCTCATAGTTTGGAGGGGGTTTAGGTTGAAGCTTGCCCGCGTTTGGACTAAAAGCGCGCTGTTCGCCAAAAGCGAGGCTGTCGCAGCTTTTGGACTTCTGGGGCTCACATGGTGTCACTGTTTGGGGTCCAGCTACGCATGCTGGCCCTGTGCGCGGTAAACCCTAAACCCTCAACCCTAAACCCTGCGCTTCAAGAGTGCCCCTGAGTACGCTGGCCTTTGGTGCAGGGTGCCCTGGTTTATCCCCCTAACCGTAAACCCAAAAACCCAAAAACACAAAACCCTAAACCCCAAACCCCAAACCCGAAACCCTAAACCCTAAACCCTAAACCCTAAACCCTAACCCTAAACCCTAAGCCTTAAACCCTAAGCCCCAAGCCCTAAGCCCTAAACCCTAAACCCTGAACCTAGCACGAGCCGTTCACAGTACCCCAGCTGCAGGACCCTTGCGAACAACGCGCTCGGGAAGCTGGCTTTCCAGGCCCTTCGCTGTCTTCAACGGGCTTGCGCATCCTAGCCTAGTTAGGGTTTAGGGTATAGGGTATAGGGTTTAGGGTTTAGGGTTTAGGGTTTAGGGTTTAGGGTTTAGGGGTCTTGGCAGCGCATCTGAAAGGTGCATGCTGTGCAGTGTAAACCAGAGTCCTGCATAATTGGACAAGACAATGGCCTGAGTTGTAGACTGCAGAATTTGTCGACGATGATCTGCGATGGCTTACTTTTGGGCAGGTATGCCAAGTGATGCGCAAGAATGAGGCCTGGCGAGTCCAGCTATATCTACAACGTACTGTATAGCAACCACTGCAATCACCACAGTACAAGTTACAAGTACTTGTTCACAAGCAAGCTTTGGCAGCAAGATACGTCTTATTCGGAACGTGAAATTCCGACAATAAAGCCCCTTATCCCAAAAGACATCTGAGAAGGGGTGCGTGCAAGCCGTAAACAGAGAAAAGCATTCAATACATTTAGGGTAATCGGAAGAACCTCTTCTGCTTGTACTAAAAATGCAATTCATTAACATCACACATGGGTTCTTTTCAGCAACTGTGGTCATGGTGCTCCAATTGTACGCGGTTTGTGTTCAAACTTACTGAAAACTTTGTTGCACGAGAGAGTTTGCATTATCAGTTTGAGTGACAAAAGGGGCAATCTCGTCAATGGAATAGCGTCAACATCGTTGCTCGAAAATCAAAATCTCCTCTCCAATATGCATTGGCTTTTGGACGGTTGGCTGTTCTGTGGTCTTATTTCAGCATAGGAGATTGGCACAAGAGATGGAGGCCCCTAAAGCCTTAGTTGTAGAAAGCATCTGCCTGAGTAGACTTGCCAGAAGCTGGGCATGTGAAAGGAGGTGCTAACATGCAACCCAGCTCCCCAAGCCATAGGTTCCAGAAATTGGTATGCGAATGGCTGTGCCTAAGCCGCACATAGACTCGACCACCCGGAGGTGACACCGCTGACGGCGCACTTCAACTTTGCTCTGAACGCTTGTCGACAGGACGTGTGAGTTCGGCCAGTTTGCTTCAGTTGAGGTTATGAAGGGCGTCCAGAGGAAGCACCACTATCTTCTCCAACCCACACGCAGTTCGTGGCCAGTGGCCGTACTGGCACCTCAACATGATTTGGGTGACCGCCACGAACGCAAAGAGAGGGGAATTCTGATCATGAACTGCTGGGGTGGAAGCTTGGGGCATGTTGGTAGCACTTTCTCTGGCCAGGTGGCCGCTGTCTCTCGAGATACTGAGCGACATGGCGCAAGACCAGGCTGTGCCGGAGAGAGGCTTCAGAGGACCCAACTCAACACAATCTCAATTCACCAAGGGCCAAGACGTGTGACGGGCTGGACGGGAGTTGGGTTGCTAAGCTCTGACTGCCCAGCAAGAGAACCCAAGGTTGTAAGCTTCAGGTCAACATGCTATCGACCCCTAAGCCGTGCGAAAACTTGCAAAGCATGTCGTTTCAGTTCCTCCGGCATGCATTCAGTTCCCCGCAAATCCCTCTTGCACACCCTCCTCTAGCACACTCTAGCCTCATGAGCAACGCAAACCCGGCCTCGTGCAGGTGTCCCCGGATGAGCTGACCGTGAAAGAGGCACGGCGTCCTAGGAGCACCAATAGCGGTAAGATGTGCTAAGCCGAAGAATTGTCTTCTTGTAGACGCCGACTCTGGCGTTTGTGACGCACTCGATCCTTGCATAAAAGGGGCCGTCAAGACAACGCGCGACATCTTTAGCATGTGCTGCAGATCTTGCAGTTTTCGCATCCGTGCATCATACCCGCAGCATGCCTTAGAGAATTCTGCCACTTTTTTCACAAGGGTACTGAGTGTTCGACAGGGTCGCAACAACAGAGGCAATGCAAAACTGCTGCCAGCGATGGAGGCGCCTCGGACCCCTTGAAGGGAGAATGGGTGTTGGCAAGTATGTGCGAAAAAATTGGTTCAGGAAAGCTTCAGAGCCTCGTTTGCCTCATGTCCAGAGAAAGTGCTATAGCGTTTACAGTAGTCTCGTTCTGCTCCTCCTGCTGCTGATGATACGGCTGATGCTGACGATTAGTATGCTCGTGGCGTTGGTGATGGTCGTGGTGCTGATGAGGATGATGATGATGATGATGATGATGATGCTGGCGATGATGCTGACGATGATGGTGGTTTGATTATTGAGATTCATATTTCTACTCTTGGGATGCTGCTGCTGCTGAGGAGGAGGAGGAGGTTGTTGACGAGGACCATCACGACGGATCCTGTCAGGATCGTGGGGAGGAGGATGACGATGACGATGGGAATGACGATGATGATGACGATGATGATGGACGATGACGTGATGATGATTTTACCCTTATTTCAATGCGACGATGTACCGCATACCTACCACGGTCCCACGATTTGTTGGCACTTTCAAGATTGGCCACGTAGGCTAGACCGCTCACGTGAGAAACGTGCTGCAGCGGGGAGCTTGAATGAAACGCCTGTAATCTAGCGATTGTCGGCCCAGGCCACTCAGCAGACTCCAACCCTGTATGAGTCTGTAGTTAATCGCCCTGCCGCCTAGGAACACGCTGTTCCTCTTTACATACTTCCGGCAGATGCCTGGTCTTGAGGCATCGGGTCCCAACGTCCTCGGCTGGAGTTTCATTGTTGCAATCACGCGGCTGCCCAAACTTGCATCTTCTCAGCACATATCGTTGTGAGCCCTCACTCACACCCGCGAGTCCAGAATCCTAAGACCCTAAGAACCCTCAGCAGCCCTGAGAAATGGCGACCTCCCTTTTCCTCCTTTTCCCCTTTTCCAGCTCGCCTCGTTCCGCAACGTGCTTGGCACTCTCTTGGAGAAGCGTGGGGCTCGGCATTGAAAGGACATGGCTGTTGAGTCTATGCAGAGTGACTTAAGGACGCAGCTGTCTTAGCAAGGCTCAAGGCGCCCCCTGACATGACCTGACATCACAGAACCCCACCTGAAGGCCGATGCGCTGGAAAGAGGCGTTGACGCTGTGGGAGGCCGGGACATGACTGTGGCTTATTATTATTACTAAGATGATTACTGGTGCTACTATTGTTGTTATTACTGCTATTCCTATTCTTATTCTTGTTATTATGAGCATTAGCATTATGTGTTTTTTAGTGCTATCACAGAAGGGTTTTGAGAGGGCCACCATTAGGCGGCTGTGAGCACCATGCCTGTGCCAGAATCCCACACTCACTCTTCAATCCACCCAGTGAACTGCAGCTCTAAACTTAAAAAAAAGAACCCAAGCAGAAACCTCTATGGACTACGAAATTCGAAGAAGGCTAACCTCCTCTTAGGGCCGTGCCGGACAGCCATCCGGACCTCTAAAAAACCCTGTACAGGCCCTGCCCCTGCAGGGCATCCTCAAGTCTGGCCCCATTCCTGTTGGCCCTTAAAGCCCTTGTAAGGACCGCACCATGCACCCGGAAAAAGTGCTAAAGTCCTCCACAAGTCGTAGCTTGTCTCATACTTGTCTCATACCTGGGGCCCAAACAAAGGGGGAGAGATGTCCTAGAAGTGTGCCCGCCAGGAGATGACCGAGTCCGATGTCACCCCGGATGCCACCTGAACCTTGGCTGTGCTTTAAGGCCTATAGGGCCTATGCTTGGCCGTCCAACCTTTGTGGCTCCGCGTGTTCCAGGGAGCTTCAGGTTCCGAGTAGTACCACTGCTCCCTTGCCATCCGAGTGCACAGGCTGGGCGCAGATCATCAAGTGGCACGGCATCAGTGGTACTTGGGAGGAGGGGCTGTGCACCATGCGCACGTTGTTTTTGGCATGGGCTCTGTCAATCTCAAACACGGTGAAGCACATGACCAGGGTCCTCGATTGCCCTCTGCAGAGTCCCCGCCATCGGCGGTGTTCTCAAACATGTCGTGAAGCACACACTGAACCTCCTCCGCCCGTCTTTGCTTTACCATCTAAAGCAAGTCCGAGGCCTTAGGCAACATAGGGTGGGCGCGAATCGAACTAAGGCCCCCCTCCCCGTCCCCGCGCTTCAGCTAGCTGTTGTCGCTCCGCCGCGGTCTCAAGTTTCGGTTTTGTCCTCAAATCGACGGAACGATGGTTCTTGGTCTGCTGCGACAGCCTCGACAGCACTTCACATACCTGCTGCGGGTTTCCGAGTGCGGATCATCAAAGATGTAGCTGCTTCGAGAGGGGATGCGGCCCATCAGCTTCAGGAATTGGGGGCTCTAAGACCGGTATCAGGGGCCTGCAGCATGCCAAAAGCCCCTAAACCCGAAACCCTAAACCCTAAGCCCTAAACCCTAAACCCTAAACCCTAAACCCTAAACCCTAAACCCTAAACCCTAAACCCTAAACAACCCATCCGCCAACGCAAAAAGCTTAAACGTCCTCTTGCCTCTGCCTCATCGGAGCAAGGAGTCCCTGCGACTCCTCAAGCTGGCGGAGCAAGCCAACTTGGAACCCTGCCTCGGACCCTTCCTATTTAGGGTTTAGGGTTTAGGGTTTAGGGTTTAGGGTTTAGGGTTTAGGGTTTAGGGTAGGCCCTGGGAAGAAGATGTTTGTTAGACCAAATTCAGGAGGATCATCGCCAGGAGTCTTTTTTCAGAGGGCTTTTAGGGCCCATCCCTGCTTCGCGACATGGCATCGTCCCAGCTAGAGCATCCGAAGGCCTCGAGACTTGAGAAGTGGGTGGCTGTCAAAATTATAGTCCCTTTTTTGTGTTACCCTAAAGATTAGGTGCCGTAGTACAGGGATCCAAAAAAAGGGACCAAAATTTTTGACAACCACCCCAAGTGTTGCCAAGCTGCTCAGGAGTTCGGGTAGGCTTCCCAGGAGTCCTCAAAGCCCAGAAATAGGGGGGTTTCCGAAAAATCAGGGACCCCGAATGTCCCCCCAAGTAGTACGCCTCCGCTGATGATAGTAGGGACCCCAAGAAGGTACCCCCGCTTATTTCGGAAACCCCCCAGATCCTAGGACCGGCCTGAGTTGCCCTTCAACGGCGCCCTGTTCGCCATGGGCCGAGCGCGGCAGTGGCAGGTGGATTCCCAGCTGTTTGGGGGGTGCGGGGCCCGCCCACCTAAAGGGTTTCGGAGGTTGAATTGTGGTTGCGGACTTCTGGTGTGTGTGTGTGTGTGTGTGCTGGTTGCGAGCAAGGGCGTCTCCGAGCATTCAGGTCTGGTTGCACATTAGATGATTAGCAAAGGGCATGCAAGCCCCAAATGGCGTGGCCATGCAGTTTGCAAAGTTGCGCCCCGCACCCGTTGCGTTGAGATGGGCGGTCATGAATGAGGCAGTTGATATGTGAAAGCTGAAAACATGCGATTGTTTTTTTCCGGCAGTAGGGCGGCAAACAAAAAGCATAGCTCAGCCATGGTTACTTGCAGGCTCTGGCAGTATCCCATATCCAATTCAAATCGGCTAACTTCACTACTGAGCTAGCAGATGCCACCGGGATGTACACCCGCCTGGAAGTCGCTTTGCCACAGGCCTCCTTGCACATCCATGCCCGGATGAAGTCCCAGGTTACCGGGGGGATGGCGTGGTGCTAACTTCTGCGCGAAGGGAACCTGACACTATGCCAAGCACTCTATGCATCCAGCTTGTAGCTTACAGGATGTTCCGCTCGTTCAGCTTGGAGCATAGCTTGGCAAGCCTATCGGCGAACACCTCAATGTTTTGTTGCAGAGACTGAACAGAATTGAGAGAGGTGTTTGGAGAGGAGAGAAGCTCTAAAGAGGGGCTTTCAAAAGCTCTCCGTTGCTGCACATGATGATTTTGCCTCCCGGACATGCAGAGACGTACACCTCCGAAGCTTTGTGGAGAGGAGCTGGAGATAGCGCAGCATGGCTACCGTGATGTCGTCATGACGTGCGCGACCGGCGCCACCTGGATGCGTATGTGATGCACTCCCCTCGCACAAGAAGTGACACGAGTCGGATTTGGGGTCGCTGTTCTAAGCCCTAAGCCCGAAACCCTATACCCGAAGCCTAAACCCTAAATCCTCATTCCGAAACCGGGAACCCGAAACCCGAAACCCGAAACTCGAAACCCGAAACCCGAAACCCGAAACCCTAACCCTAAACCAAACCATAGCCTGGCTACACCAAGACTTTGAAGCCAGATCCTTATAAGTGACCTTAGGGGTAATGTAGGGCTACTTGGGTATATAGGGACTATATAAGGTATATATATATATATGTCTGTATATATATATATATATATATAAATATGGACACACCCCCCCCCCATGACCCACCCAGATCTGTTTCCCTCGTAAATACCGTTAAAAACCCGCTCGTGCCCTATGCCATTTTTTGCTACTCTCAGTGGCTGTCTCTCGACAAAACAGACCCCACACGGCCCACAAGACTGGACGCCGAGACGCGCGAGACCAAAAAACCAAAAAAAACATCTTTTTTAGAGAATGGGGAGGGGATGTTGAAAAAGATGGTTTTTTTGGTTTTGCCTCGTAAAAAGATGGTTTTTCCATAGAAAACCAACTTTTCCCACGTAAAAAGATGGTTTTGGTCTGGACTGCCTCAGGAAAACCATCTTTTTGCGAGGTAAAAGTTGGTTTTTGGCTCCAAAACCATCTTTTACGAGGCAAAACAAAAAAACAAAAAAACCATCTTTTTTAGAGAATGGGGAGGGGATGTTGAAAAAGATGGTTTTTTTGGTTTTGCCTCGTAAAAAGATGGTTTTTCACAGGAAAACCAACTTTTCCCACGTGAAAAGATGGTTTTGGTCTGGACTGCCTCAGGAAAACCATCTTTTTGCGAGGTAAAAGTTGGTTTTTGGCTCCAAAACCATCTTTTACGAGGCAAAACCAAAAAACCAAAAAAACAATCTTTTTTAGAGAATGGGGAGGGGATTTTGAAAAAGATTGTTTTTTTGGTTTTGCCTCGTAAAAAGATGGTTTTCCATAGCAAAACCAACTTTTCCCACGTAAAAAGATGGTTTTGGTCTGGTCTGCCTCAGGAAGACCATCTTTTAACGAGGGAAAAGTTGGTTTTTGGCTCCAAAACCATCTTTTTACGAGGCAAAAGTTGGTTTTTGTGTCCAAAACCATCTTTTTACGTGGGAAAAGTTGGTTTTGCTATGGAAAACCATCTTTTTACGAGGCAAAACCAAAAAAAACAATCTTTTTCAAAATCCCTTCCCCATTCTCTAAAAAAGATTGTTTTTTTGGTTTTTTGGTTTTGCCTCGTAAAAGATGGTTTTGGAGCCCAAAACCAATTTTACATCGCAAAAAGATGGTTTTCCTGAGGCAGTCCAGACCAAAACCATCTTTTTACATGGGAAAAGTTGGTTTTGCTATGGAAAACCATCTTTTTACGAGGCAAAACCAAAAAAACCATCTTTTCAACATCCCCTCCCCATTCTCTAAAAAAGATGGTTTTTTTGGTTTTTTGGTTTTGCCTCGTAAAAGATGGTTTTGGAGCCCAAAACCAACTTTTACCTCGCAAAAAGATGGTTTTCCTGAGGCAGTCCAGACCAAAACCATCTTTTTGCGTGGGAAAAGTTGGTTTTCCTATGAAAAACCATCTTTTTACGAGGCAAAACCAAAAAAAACATCTTTTTCAAAATCCCTTCCCCATTCTCTAAAAAAGATGTTTTTTTTTGTTTTTTGGTTTTGCCTCGTACCTCTCTCGGGCCAGAACCGTTCAGCTCTACATGTAGCTATGCTTGGAGGCTCGTTGGTTTTGGTCAGTCTTATATTAATCTCAGCAATAGCATTCCTATTCCTATTAATGTAAAAGGGTTCCTAACCATCTTTATAGGACTTCTTTTCATTGTATTTATATTCTTATGAACTTTCAGAGGGTTCTTATTCAACATCAGAGGATTCCTAATACTTTTCAATAGGGTTCTTATGCATTTCAACAAGGTTCTTAATCATTTTCAAGTGGCTCTTTTAATTCCAACAGGGTTCCTCTGAAATTAAAAATCCTTTTAAGATGCATATTGGTGCCTATTCATTTTAGTGAGTCTCCAAGTAATTTTAATGGTATTCTTAGAAAATTGAATAGCATTCCTCGCCCTATTAATTCTAATAGGAATCACATTAAGTCTAACAGGAAGCCAAGAAATTTTGAAAAGGAACCACATTGAATTTTGTAGGATTCCTATTGGTTCCTATTATTTTTAGTAGGATTCCTCTTCATTTTAAAAGGATTCCTATCAATTGGTAATAGGGTTCTTAAAAATTTTACTGGGGGTCCTAATAAACTCCGATTAATGTCAAAGGGTTCCTGACCATCTTAATGGGACTCCTCTACCATTTCAGAATATGCTTACGAGTTTTCATAGGGTTCTTACTCAATGTAGAAGGATTCCTAATACGTTTTTGTAAACAGGGTTCTTATGAATTTCAACAAGGTTCTCAATCATGTTAAAGTGGCTTCTCTTAGTTTCAATAGGGGTCCATCTGAAAATGAAAAGGGCTCATACTTCTTTTTAGGATTCCTATTTGTTCCTATTCATGTTTGTGACTTGCAAAGTAATTGGAATGGTTTTTTTCGGGAGATTTGAATAGCATTCCTGTCCAATTAATTCTAATAGGAATCACATGAATTCTAACAGGAAGCCTAGAAATCCGAACCACATTTATTTTTATAGGATTCCTATTGGTTCCTATTAATTTAGTAGGATTTCTCTTCATTTTCAAAGGATTCCAATAGGGTTCTTATGATTTTTAGTGGTGTTGCTTATAAGTTCTAATTGATGGTAGGACCCTCTTCATTTAAAAGATTCCTCTTAATTTGTAAAAGGGTTCTTATGAATTTTAGTGGGATTCCTCATAAATTGAATAGGATTCTAATTCATCATAACAAGATTAAGAGAAATATTAATAGGATTCCTATTTAGATTTAATGGAATTCCCACATTCCCGTGAATTCAAAAAGGGTCCCTTTTCATTTTCACAGGCTCTATTCTTCATGGGGGCCCTATTATTTTTCTACATTTTAATAGCATTCCCATGACGTTTGATAGGGAGTTCCTCTGACTCAAATATGATTCCAAGTCATTATTCCTATTGATTCAATAAAGAGTCTTATTAATCTTAATAGGGTTCGTATGAATTTCATAGGGTTTTCGTTCAATTAAGAGGGTTCTTATTAAATTCATAGCTATGACTAAGTATGGATTTCTTACTCCGACACGGCCTCACGGTGGGTCGTGGGGGGGGGTGTGAGCTAATATATATACACATATGTAGACACACCGGCTAACTCTCTTTTTTCCCCTTGACACACTTGACACATACCTCCACTGTTGCTGGTCGCAGACGGTCGCCAGCACGCAAGCAGATGAAGCAGTCCTTGACAAGTCTGTCAGGGACTTTGCCGGACAGCTTCGCGCTTCGTAGTGCAGCTGCCGAGATACCCTAAACCCTAAACCCTAAACCCTCAACCCTAAACCCTACATCCTAACCCTAAACCCTAAAGAAGCAGTGCCTCGACTCTCGAGTCTCCGCCGAGGATCGGTGGCAGCTGGCCATCAGGTTCCTTTCGGAGATGGTCGAAGAGGACCGCAACCATTGCGTTGGAAACTACGCTTGTAGTTCTACTCTACACGTGTACTGTTTCAAAGTTCATTGTGCTTTCATTGTGTCAGGATAGAGTCTGTGTCGTTCACTAGGGACAAACGAATATGTATTCTTGTTGGTCCAGCTAGGGGATCTCGACAAGTCAAGCTTTGCATGGGTCCAAGTTCAGCCAACGAATCCAAATGCCTTGCACGCAGATAGAAGAGAAACACAACATCCACCAGTCGGCAAAATCTTCCCAGTCTATGCAACTTAATTGTAGTTCGCCTTGCTTGATCGTTTAGATGTCAACACCTTCAGTACACCAAGTGGACGTGGCAGCCTTTGTGGCTGAAACAAAGATATCAGTGAACCTAAGCATTCAACTGACGATTGCATAAAGTAAAAAATATGGAGGTTATTGATTGAAGATGAGTTGGTCCGTTCATTTATCCACTCTGTGGAGGTAAGCAAACGTCGGCTGGCCCACGTGCGTGCGTGTCGCCGTAGCTGTCCTTCATCTCTCTCTTGTACACATCTGAAGCACTCCACCATTTCTGGAGCGTTTTGGGGATGCTGGCATCGCACAAACCGCAACCCTAGAGTCCTAAAAATCCTAAGCGCTTGTACACCCAAACCTAGAACGATGATAATCTGAAGCTCTACGCCTTCAACCCCAAACCTACCCTAAGCCGAAGGCGGTGGGGGGGAGGGGGGAGTCCCTCAACCCTAAACCCTAAACCCTAAACCCTAAACCCTAAACCCTAAACCCTACACCCTAAACCCTAAGCCCTAAGCCCTAAACCCTCTGGGTGCGCCATAAGTTGCGAGTTGCGGGTTTCTGTGCGCATAGAACTCTGCTCGGCCAGGATCTGGATCCCGATCGATCCTTCAGCTCCCTTGTGCGAGAGATCGCCAGGGTCTGAGGGTTTAAGGTTTAGGGTTTAGGGTCTGAGGGTTTAGGGTTTAGGGTTTAGGGTTTAGGGATTAGGGTTTAAACTCTTCCTTCTCTTCTTCCAGTGTAGCGAACACCCGGGTTTCGAAGGTTGTCAAGTACCGAAAGCACAGGGCTGGGCTGTTGGGGTGCCTTCCTCAGTGTGCCCACTTGAAGTTTTTGGAGCACCTCCCAGTGAAACGTGAACATGGACCTGGACATGGCTTGGGGTCAGGATGATCACGGGATGTTTGGGGGATCTGTGTCGGGTTCTCTGCCGGAAGCCTGAGGGAACAGGCCTAACCAGGCAATCAACTTTGCAGGGTGAATCCATATCACCTGCGCGCCCGTCCTGAGCCTAGTCTCGAGCAGCAACATTATCACGACGACAGGCACAAGCCGAGAGATCCGAACCCTTCATCCATCCCAACGCCATGAGAGCAGCAATCTTCGAGCCGGTCGCATCCTTGTACTCCTAATTTTTAAACCCCAAGCCCTAAACTCTAAAGCCCTAAACCCTACCTTCCTCCACGCCGTTACGTGAGCTCTGCGCGCTCAGATCCTGCGCCAGCTGAAGAGGCGGCATGGGCCCGGCCTGGGGGAATTGACCTTTTGCCCCGGGATGCTAGGTCTTGGAGCCGGTAGCCGGTCGAGCGTCTGATTTCAGGGGAGCCTCTCAAGTCTGATTGTTGCATGCTTCAGTCCTACATTGAGTTCATGGCTTCGGTATTCAGGGGTTCAGGGTTTAGGGTTTAGGGTTCAGGGTTCAGGGTTTAGGGTTTAGGCCCTGCATCCTGCCAGGCAGGCGGAAGCGCCCCAGGAGCCGGACAGCGAAACGAAAAAGTCTGCCGAGCAACGCGGGGTGCAGAGCTGGGTGCACCGGAGACTTAGCGCATTTACAGTAAAATGATACTAATCATCGAAATATCAATAATAATACCTATACAGTAACATACTAATACGAATAATAATGACAAGAACAATAAGAACAATGACGAAGCGTCCCTGAGTCGACGGTGCTAGGTGTGTTGAACTGCAAAATTCCGACTGCCCAGCTGCTGGCCCTTGCTACGTCTCCGTCTGCTCGTCGTCAAGCATGTAAGAAAGGCATTGAGAGACCACCCTTTGTTTGTGAACTCACTAGTTACTTGTTTCGGAAAGTTTCTGGACACCGTGAGCGAAAAGTCTGATGCCAACATAGCAATATGTGAAAGTATGTTTGAGAACAGACGTTGAGATGTTCGATAAATCAGTTGCCTGGTCGCAAAAGCCATTCGCCACTAGCACTTCTTCTGTATGCTGAACGCATGTTCTGTATGCTCAGCCATTGACAACTGGCAGTGTTTTGTTCAGCCAAGTGCGGACAACTGGCAGTATTCTGTTTGATCGACCACGACCAACCGACGACATTGTGTTTTGCCACTCAGTCAGCCACGGACAGCTGGAATGATCTGATTCCCAACTTGTAAAGCAATGAGACTTGGAAACCCGAAATCCTAAACCCTAAACCCCTAAACCCCTACACCCCTAAACCCCTAAACCCCTAAACCCCTAAACCCCTAAACCCCTAAACCCCTAAACCCCTAAACCCCTAACCCCCTAACCCCCTAAACCCCTAAACCCCTAAACCCCTAAACCCCTAAACCCCTAAACCCCTAAACCCCTAAACCCCTAAACCCCTAAACCCTAAGCCCTAAACCCCTAAACCCTAAACCCTAAGCCCTAAACCCCTAAACCCTAAACCCACAGCTGAGCGCAAATTCTTCTGGACATCCCCTGTTCTGTGTTCGGGCGTTTTCTCGCAGGGTTTCGGTGACCTTGCCTGGTCTCAACAAGCCGGGCGGCCCAGTCGGCCTGGATGTTGGGGGACTCAGAACCTTCCACTTAGGGACTGGGTAGGCAACCTTTAACTTTTTTGGGTCATATAGAGAATCCTACAATACATATAACAGGTTCACCTCTTCTGGGCTAGGGTACTCAGCCCCTAGCTGTCAATCTTTTTTTTTTCAGAACCATGTCAGCCCTACAGCCCCCAAGCCTGACAATGCTTAAAACTTATAAGTCCTTAAGCTTCCGGCTTGCTTGGTGCCAAGGCGCCGCCACCACTGCCACCACCAGCCACCTCCCCCCCTGCTTCCAGGCCACTTTTTGCGGGGGGCCGCCCAAACCCCAAAACCCAAAACCCAAAACCCCAAACCCCAAACCCCAAACCCCAAACCCCAAACCCCAAACCCCAAACCCCAAACCCTAAACCCTAAACCCTAAACCCTTTGGTAAGTCTAGGCGGCGCTGTAGTCCGTCCGCGGCGTCTACGGTTCATGCTATTGGCTGATAGATGTTGAGCTCCGACTTCGAAAGGAGCTGCACAAGACCCTGAAGGAACCTAAGCCCTAAACCCCAAAACCCTAAACCCCTGAACCCTTAGACCCCTGAACCCCTAAACCCCTGAACCCTTAGACCCCTGAACCCCTAAACCCCTGAACCCCCGAAACCCTGAACCCCCCTAAATCCCTAAAGCCCCTGAACCCCCTAAAAGCCCCTCGACTCCGAGCTCAGGAGATCTCAGCCTGCAGCTTGCTTCGCGCAGGCGAGCTCATTTCTTCCGGGAGCCATTCCGGGGTCCGGGTTTTCCTGTTTTTTCCACAGAAAGTTGGGGGTCAGGGTTTAGGGTTTGGGGTTTAGGTTTTTTTTTTTGTTTAGGGTCTAGGGTTTAGGGTTTAGGGTTTAGGGTTTAGGGTTTAGGGTTTAGGGTTTCTTAAGGGAGGGGGTTCAAGAGGGCAGGTACCTAGGACCTAGGGGAGCTTAGGGAAGCTTAGGGAGCCTAGTACTGGGGAGTATTAGGGAACCTTGGGTTACATACCCCACTTGAGAACCCCCCCCCCCCCCCCCTGAAGAACCCTATCATCGCTCTTTTTCAGAAGGGAAAGAAAAGCCCAGGCTGAAGCGCCTGAAGCGGTTTGGGGGTTTAGGGTTTAGGGTTTAGGGTTTAGGGTTTAGGGCAAGTCGGCAGGTCGAGTCCCTCCCAAACTTGTGAGAGGGTCTTTTCCTTTGGGACAGTTGAAGAGATGCGGTTTATTACGAGCTACAGTTCTTGCTACGACTACTTTGATGACGATGGCTACTACTGTTTTGACTTAAGCTCCCCCCCCCCCTAAACCCTAAACCCTAAACCCTAGCCCTAAACCCTAAACACCCTAAACCCTAAACCCCAAGTCCTAAGCCCTAAACCATCCTAAACCCCAAACCCTAAACCCTAAACCCTAAACCCTAAACCCTAAACCCTAAACCCTAAACCCTAAACCCTAAACCCTAAACCCTAAACCCTAAACCCTAAACCCTAACCCTAAACCCTAAACCCCACCCTTCGAAAACCGAAGTCTCTCCAGGTGGCCCAGGCCTCCCAGGCCCATACCTCCCTAGACTGGGCGGTGCAGGCGGTGCTCCCCCCCCTTCCCCCTTGCAGGGTTTAGGGTTTAGGGTTTAGGGTTCAGGGTTTAGGGTTTAGGGTTTAGGGTTTATACTAATAGTCCTTAATAGGGATTATCATACCCCCTAGCCAAGAGGTGAACTTTAGACTTTTGTAGAGTTTTGCACATTCTGTTGCGTTGGTTTGGGACTCTTCGGGGCTTCAGGCTTTGCAATCTGGGTGTAGGGTTTAGGGTAGGGTTTAGGGTTTAGGGTTTAGGGTTTAGGGTTTAGGGTTTAGGGTTTAGGGTTTAGGGTTTAGGGTTTAGGGTGCCAGCGTAGATTTTCAGGCCTGGGCTTCGCAAGGCTTTGTAGTGGGCCCCGCAGAGCTTTTGCCAGGAATGTCAGCGCTGTGAGTCTGAGGATGGACATTCGCGAACATAGCAACCGAGGTAAATGTGGGGGCTGCGCTGCCCAGTGTAGGATGCAGTAGTCCCTTTGTCCCTTGCAAGGCTTCTGCATTCTGCCTTTGGCCCAAGTATCTCGAAGAATCGGCACTTGAGCAGCTTGAGCCATTGCAGTGGGTCTAAGCAGCCGAAACGGCCGAAAGCCTATGCTGCACAAACCATCAGATCTTCAAACAAAATCGCTGAGAACTCGGTCGGAGGGACGGTGTGCGTAGTGCGTGCGCAGCGCAGCACACCTGCTTTAGATAGCATGCCGATGTCATCGTTTACCTTCTGGCCCAGCATTGTCATCTTGGGTCTTGCCGCAAGCTCGGTCCGGGAAGCCCTTTCTCCGGCCCTTCTCCTCCTGGAAAACTCTCAGCAAGTGAGCGTCTGTACGCTCGCATGCGGGTTCCTCACAAGGTCAGCCGAGTGAGCCAACATCCTCCAGAGAAGCCGGGCTACGACGCAGGACGACCAGCCTTGAGCTTGCTTCCCTTCTGACTTGTGCAAGGGCTCCTCTGTGATATCGCTGGTTCGTCATTGGGTGCATGTTTCTCCATGTTTCTCCATGTTTGTCCATGTTTGTCCATGTTTCTCCACGAATTGCAGATACTTGGAGCCAGTTCGACGACGTTCGATCTTGCTGCAGCACTTGTTCTGGTCAGGGGTGCTTGTCCGAGTTGGAGTTCGAGGTTGCATGCAAAGCTGACGAAACACTTCTGGTCAGCCTTTCCCAAAATGTTCCCAAACCTGCAGCCATGAACCGTTTCTGGAGTTCACTTGCCAGATGCTTGCCAGGAGTGTTCCCTGGAAGTGACGAAGTCGGAGAGGCATCGTTGAGCTGGGCACGTTCTCGGATCTTGGGGGCTTTGTGGTCTTGGTCTTGGGGACAGGTGCTGCCTCATCCCTCGTCTTCCCCGACCTTTCAATGACGGCCCTTTCAGTCAGCCCATTCTCAAGATAGTGGCATCCGCGACGAAGCTGCGAAAGCCCCTGAACCCTAAACCCGAAACCCGTCATGCTGTCACGCGCGAAGTCAGTGAGCTTGGAAGTGAAGGCGAAGTCAGTGAGCAGGAAGTGAGACGCCTACAACTAGGCAAATCGAGCGGACGTGGGGCAATTTCAGTGGCTGCATGCTTCATTCTAGGAAAAGCCCTAAACCCTAAACCCTAAGTCTCCTATCTTGCGTGTTTTTGAGCTGCTGAGTGGAAGCAGGTCTTCTCCCTTGCCGCGGACCCCCTGGACTTAGTTGAGCCTGCGTTGCCAGTACCTTTTGCGCCCGCGGAAGAAGGCTTGGGGTTTGGAAGGTTCCGGGCTTTTGAGGTTTCGAGGTTATCCTCTTGGTGGGACCTCCGGTGCAGGGAGTACTGCTGGGTCGTACTTCGGTGTGGACATGCCTGCCAATATTCTGCTGCCATACGTGTGCGGGCGAGCATTAGACTCCAGGTGCGAGAGCCATCACCCTGACACCACCGATTCAACCACATTCGAAGCTGCAATTGCTCAGACATGACGCTGAACCCTAAACCCTAAACCCGAAACCCTAAACCCTAAACCCTGATCCACAAACCCTAAACCCTAAAGCCCATGCGGAAGGCCATATTGAAGAGCGGCCAGGAGATGCTCAGGTGCAGTGCTTTTGTTGATACAGGGTCGTAGTTTTAACGCTACGCGACCCGCCTCCGCCTCGGCCCGGCCCAGCGCATCCACGTGAGCATGGTGATTCCGCAGCGCCCAAGTCGCTGGACCCCAAGCAATAAGGGTTGGGTTTAGGGTTTAGGGTTCCGGGTTTATGGTTCATGGTTTGGGGTTTAGGGTTGAGGGTTAGTTTAGGATTGAGGGCTTAGGGCTCAAGGTTCACGCTTTGGGGTTTAGGGTTTTTTTGGGTTTAGGGTTCAAGAGACGGTTCGGCTTGGATTGATCGTAGGGGGTGGGTTCAGGTTCAAGCTTCGACTCTTCGGCTCGTGTAATGCATCCCCGGCCGTGCTCACACCAGTTGACCTTGGCTTTGGGCGGGGAAAAGGGTGTGGGGGGAGAGGTGGGGGGGGGGGGGTCC